TCGTGGTCTCAATGTCTTCTGCGTCACACCTCAGCCTTCTCACACCAACTCCATCGACGAATCTGCAGCAAAAATAACAGAAGCATCATCAGCAGCAGCAGCAGAAACAAGACAAGCTACATGGGCATCTATAGATGGAAAATGGGGTTACGAAAATCAAAAACCGACATTTGCTACAGTCGAAGAACCTATGGAGGTTGAACGAACATGGGGCAAGAAAGAGTAAATCGTATCTGGTTCTTGGGCGCGTCGTTGACATATCGGCATACCTTGGACTGAAACTGCAGAAGAAGTTGGATTCATCCTGCCTTTCGGCACCGGCCGCTGCGTTAATCCTGCGCCAACGATTCATCTTTCGCCAGCCTTCTTCCTTCACTCCGATTTGTACCTTCGTTCAAAGGGACACTGGACTACAGCAGAAATATGGCACAAGCGGTTAGGTCATCCCTCGCAAAAAGATCTTAACAATTCGGTTAAAGGATCCGTTTTCGATAAAGACGCTCTCCTAACCAATGGCCAAGAGCTTCGACCCAATAGTCGCCAACTACCCCGCACCATCTGCCCCGAAGCTTACCTGAGTCACGTTCCGTTCCCGTCACACTTTCCGAGTGCTACTAAGTACTCACCTATGGATGGCATCTTCAGCAACATACCCTTCATGCCGCTGGAAGCAGAGGATATCAGCGGCAACGACTACCACTATATAATTACCTTCATGGACGATGCTACTCGATATGTCTGACAAAATAATATCTCTCATAAGTCACAAGCTCTCGACGCCTTCAAGCTATGGCTGAAAATCGCGGAGCGGCAGAGCGACATCAAGCTTAAAGAGATCCAGACTGACAACGTAGGCGAATACACCAGTGACCATTTTGATGAATTCCTGGTAGGGAAAGGGATTCTGAGGCGCAAGATGATGCCTTACGCCCATCAGCAAAATGGAGTAGCTGAGAGGATGAACAGAATGCTGCAAGAGAAGATGCGCGTGCTGCTGCAACAATCCAGCTTGATAGCAGATTTTTTGCCATTTGCGATAGTGCAAGCTGTCAGACTACACAACTGCCTATCTTCAACAGCTCTTCCTCAGTTCAACTCGCCAGATGTTATGTGGACAAAACACCCCGCCAACACTCAAATTTTACGAGTTTGAGGCTGCATGGCCCAATACAGACATATGAGCGCAATTACGGGCAGTTTTACTGAACGGGCTTGATGGGGAATACACCTCGGTGTACCAAAAGGATTCCTACTCCTAGTATGGACTACAAAACCCGAAAGGTTTTGTATGCCCGAGAATGCATCTTCTACGAGAAACTTTTTCTCAACGACTTCGAACGCAACAAGGAATGCCAACAGCGGGATCCTGATCGCTATAGTGCCGAACGAAGTTTCGTCACCCCTCAAATGAAGCAGATGCAGCCGAATAATATTATCCGCCCGACAGCACGGCAGTAGGACCTTCTACAGTTGTGCTGTCGTCTGCGTTAGCAGCTGCACCTGGTCCTTCCTCCCGTGACGTAGCACTGTTCAAATTATATATTCCTTCAACACGTGCCAACGCCACATACACTCCGCTCTTCATTCCACTCTCGGACTTGTTGCATCCTGCCATGACACAGGCTGCCTAAAATTATGAGGAGCCCCTGTGCCGACAGAAAACCGACGTAGCATCGCATGACGATGCCCGCCATCTGCCATCTGAAATTGACGACGATGATATCAACGAAGTTTGCCAACCTCATCCTTGTGGTGACCAATCGGCTCTTCAGATCATCGGCCTTGCTGTCGCAGTTCAGCAATCAACGGCTGGGATTGAGCCGAAAACAGTCAAGCAGGCCCTCTCCGGCTCTGATGCTAACAAGTGGCGAACAGCTATGGATATAGAGGTAGCAGCTCTCGAGAAGCGGAAAACGTGGAAACTCGTTTCACGAAACACATGGAAACTAGTCCCTGCAACAAAGACCAACGGGCAAAATGTGCTCTCGGGGAAGTGGGTGTACCGAATCAAGACTACCGCGGATGGCTCCGTCGACCGCTTCAAAGCTCGCCGGGTCGTACGTGGATTCGGTCAGCGATACGGAACCGACTACACAGAGACATTCGCCCCATCTCCCGACATACCTCCCTACGCATTCTACTCGCCGTCGCGGCCACGAAAAAAATTACCACTGCGGCAGATCGACGTCGCCAACGCCTTCTTGTACGCACCTGTGGACGCTAAGATCTCCGTTGAGCAACCCCACGGTTTCATCGACGATCCCACAAAAGTGTGACAACTGATACAATCCCTCAACGGAATCAAACAAGCCCCGCGGCTCTGGCAGCAGCACCTTCACGGCCGCCTCGTCAGGATCGGCTTCCTGCAGCTGCCGCACGACCAAGGGATGTACCGACTGCAGAAGGGGAGCGATTTCGTCCTACTCATCGTCTACGTCGATGACCTGCTCTACGTCGGCTCCACTACCGACGTCGTCACCTGGTTCGAAGGGGAGCTGAAAAGTGACTTAACACCCACGGTGTCAGACACCGTCACCCAATATCTTGGGCTGAACGTCGTCGAAGACGATTCGGCGTTCTACCTACACGCCGGAAAGTACGCAGGCGTCGTCGCGAAGAAATTCGGACTAACGCCAATCCAGCCGCAACTCCCTATCGCTATGGGAACAACAACAGCGACACCTCCGCGAAGCTCCCCACTAAGCGAATCCAGGAATACCAACAGAAGCTCGGCTGCCTCCTGTTCGCCGCCGTAACCTGCCGACCGGATCTGTCCTACATCGCTAGCCAACTAGCGACACACCTAAAGCAGCTGGAGCAAGAGCATCTCGAGGAGCTGAATCGGGCACTGCTCTACTTCGTCTCTACGTCGACGATCGGACTCACCTACAGCAAGGTGACACCTTCGTCCGTACAACTACTCGGCTATGTCGACGCTGACCACGCGGGAGACAAGGGGAATCGGCGTTCCAGAACAGGCTGCATATACCGACTAGAGCCTACTGGGACTATTTCCTAGCAATCGAGCAAGCAGGACCTAATCGCACTATCCTCGGCTGAAGCGGAATACATCGCTCTCTGCTCTGCGACCAAAGAGGGACTTTACGTAAGGGACCTGCTCGAGGAAGCGAAAATTGCGACCATGCCCACCTTCTCGTTATTCTGCGACAACCAATCCGCGATTGAAATCACGAACAAAAACGGGTTCGCCAATCAAACCAAGCACATCGCCCTACGGTATTTCTTCGTCAAGGATGAGATAACGAAGGAGAGACTTCAGCTCAGTTACTGCCCCACGACAGAAATGGCTGCAGATTATCTGGCGAAGAAACTGGCGAAGGCAAATTTCGACTACTGCATGCTGCTGACCGGGCAGATAAACGTCACCGAATCCGGACACGTCAGCACTCCAGAAACGAAGGGGAGTATTGGAAATACCTCGAGAACTTAAGCGTTTCTAAACTGTAACACTACACTCGAGGAAAGTCGTATCGGGTACGCGAGTCAACGGAGGTTACACGAGGAGGTTGGACGAAAGAATACGCAGGGGCGAAGGAATTCGAAGGGTCGCAAAAGGAGGTTGCGATTCACCGTTGTGACTGCAAGGGTGGTAACCGAGTCGACAATCGAGTCGCTGTGCGACTCGAAAACTATTCCTTCAGCTGTATTCTTCTACTACTTCATCTCTTACTTTCTATATATTACTGTATACTTGTTTCTTTTAATCAATCACTTGCTCTCACATACTAGTGCAAGGGTTCAACTACTCAACACTTCCGCTGCACTACTCAAGCATTTCATACAAGTGGGACTTAGTCTCTGAAAAGATCCTAGGGCTTTTCTCAGCCCAACAACGAATAGGTACTTTATAGACTATAAATATGCATGTATTAGTCATTATTATTTTCCTTGTCATTCCTGACATTTCCAATACAAGGTGTTAAGTCTTCTGCTGAATTTTACTCGTGGTTCCACCAGCTCTAGATCCTGGCCACCCTAAACGCGTGGTATAAAGAAGGTTTACGAAGAACGCATGCTGCTATGGTTCTGTTAAAACTTCAAATATTTTTGTGTGGAAAAATCTGCTTTGAGTGGGGCACGAGAGATTAATACGTTTTGAATTGTTTTTTCAGTTGAAGGGGCGAATTCGGCCAAATAGTACCAAAAGAAGCCAATAACAATAGAGTGCAATTGTATGAATATAAGCATCAGCGTTTTTGTAAACTAAAGCATCTGTCTGTGTAACCCTAATCCTTATCAGCTGCAGGCGGACTTCGCTACAGTGGCGGTGGGCTTCTGTGCAATAAAGAGAAGGCTTAGTCAGGGCAATTTCTAAGGAAAGTTCTTCATTCGGAGGGATGAAACTGCTCATGATCCAATCGGTGTCGTTTAGCACGAGCTTCCCCGCGAATGGGAACATGCTGGACATCTGGCAGCATTGTGATGATTGTGTCGAGTTCCGGCTAGAGTTCAGGATGCTTGCTGTTCTTCGAAAACAGCAACGCCAAGAACGACTCAATAGCAACTGTGCTCAATCCGTAAATACATCACACTTCATTGTGGACATAGAAGTGTCCTGCCTTTTCAATTTATCTTCTATTATCGCTGGACTGGGGTCTGGGCATGCAAAAACATATCTGTGGACTTATTGCGATCGTCCTTTTTTTTCGAACGCCAATGCCGACATGTTGCCAAGTGGCCGTGATCTTTTGAGGTCTCACAATCTGCATTGATGGCCTTCTGTGTCTGTAGGTCGTCAAACGCGTTCTGACGAACGCGTTTTGCACTGTGCATGTGGTTGCGGTCTCGTCAGGACGAAAATTTACGGTTTCTTGCTGGATTAACAATCGATACGCCCAGTCAGCAAATCACACAGCAAAAGCTGGTGGCGCAAAGATTTACAGTTACTGTACATTGCTGGTGTGGTGTGCTGCGAGTTTTGTACACCTTTTCTCCTTTATTGTTTTACCCGTAACAGTCCAAATTGCAATCTCACCTACCAGGTTCTCAGCATGACTCGCGTTGACACTGAACCTGATTGGCTGCAGTCTGAACGATAACGAACTACCAAGTTATATTTCGATAATTGCGAGTTTCAGAGCCGGGACGTCGCGCGGGAAAATAATCTAGTGTGTGAGAGATATTTTGTTATCAAGTGTCATTTATTACTGTGGGATTTCCCCTTCAAAGTCCCGTTTACCCCTGTTTTAAAATTGCCTGTTTACAGGCTTCAACTGCGTTAAAACAATGTAGTATTACATAGAAAAAAAGGTGTACAAGAAAGGGGCAAAAGTGAGATTTTTTCGCACAAGGTTCAACTCCACGCCTTGCGCATGTGTTTCACTGTACACGTTGCTCCCATTTCCTAGGTTTGCAGGAGGTTTATCCCCAACATGTGGCCGAATGCTGTTGTGCAAAAAACCACTTCAATTCTGCTCACCCACCATCCTGCTCGACTTTGCATTGGGGTTGTCGTCCTCGCCCTTGCAGCCACCCGTCCACGGCACAGTGCAAAACGAAAACACTCGCCACTTTTCCCCCAGTGCTTTTTCCTCAATGCCCGCACAGGTTCCCATGTTTAGAGGTTCTGACTAAGCACGCTATACACGTGATGCCCAGCCTTATCGCAGCTCAACCTGGCGCCCAATCAGAATCCGTTTTTTAAACCCCCGATATACGGGCAATGTGAGATCCGTTTGAGTCACTCATGATTGCGTCTGCGACCAGCATATAGCAAGGGACAAGTCCTTGACGACGAGGTTTCGTCGCCACTGAACTGTGCACCGCCGTCGCCTGATCGCTTCACAAGAGTCGCACACTGGCAACAAATATCGCCACACAAGCCCCCCCCCACAAATACCCACCCATCTCGCCGTGTGCTCGTGCGAAAGCCTCATTTGCCCGTGGCGAGGGACAGCGAAATACTTGACCGATTGAATATTCGGCATCCTAAAAGTTTGTGCGATTCTGTCGCGCCTAGACTGTATATTATGGTGTCTCCTCTTGTCGACCTTTAAAATATCGAAGTACTGCATTGTGGCGTGCTTGGTGGGGCGTGTCAAACCGGGTTCAGGTCAGTCAAACTCAGAGTTCTCTTGCCGGGCAAGGTGCATGCAAACCCTGCAAAAAAAACTACGGAGCTCCTTCACCGCAGTGCCCCCCCAACCACCCCCGCCGCACCACCAAACCCTCGTTGCGAACCAGCGCGTAGTACAGCGTGCGCAGCGCTGGAGGTTTGCGCGCTGTGCACTGTGCCTCCCCCCAGCAAGAAAGCCTCCCCCTGCCCGTCCCTCCCTCCCAACTAACTTCCCTGTTCTGCATCCACTGCTGGGTTGGGTTGAGGGGTTGCGTGCTGCTTGCACTGTGCCCCTCTGTGTGGCGCCAGTCACCCTACTTCTGCAATTCTGTGTTTGAATCTTCTGTTCAGCAACGCTTCACACACTTCCAAGCAACACATCTCCCCTCCCAATCGAGCAACACGCCGACAAACCTATCCCACCCACTATCTGCAGATACACACACTCGTCTCTTCGTGCATGACCAGGCGCACCCTTCTGTTCATCATTGTAGCACTCCGAGGCCAGATCCATACTCAACAGCAGCAGCAGGTGTTTCGTGTGTCTTCCACGCTCCAAGCTGCTTTAATCACCTGAACTGTAAGCGCTCTAGCTATGCTTTCTTTATGGCGTTGACGATGGACTTTGTGGTGACTATTCACTGATGCATGTGCTTCCGGCCTCTGTTTTCCTTTCTTTCTTTCTTTATTAACAAACAAACATTTCACTGTCTTCTCCTGCCTTCCAGGTTCCACGCGGCGGCATCTCGCCACCTTTGTGTGGATCGTCGCGCGACCGCATTCCGAGCACGCCGAGGCTCCTCTCGCTAGCCGATCTGGCGACTCTTGCGTTTTCGGAACCAGCGCCGTCGATCTTCCGTTCGTCAGAAGCCGCACCGCTTTCATCCACCGCACCTGGCGGCGGCTTTTCCGTCCCCCGCGGGGGTTTCACCCCGGGCCTTTTTTCCACGTCATCCGCCGCTGCGCCGATGGACTTTCGCGGCCAGGCGGAGATGGGGGGATCGGGCGGGGGCGAGGGGGCGCGGTCGGCGCTTCCTCTGCTCAACTTCGGCATGGCGTCGTCGGGGCTGATGGGGTCGTCGGACCTCATGGGGTCGGCGCCCGCCAACACCGGCGACGCGTCGCTCAGCATGATGGTGGGCCACGCCGCCTTCCAGCCGCAGCCTTCCAGCAACTCCCTGCCGCCGCCGCTTAACACCACGCAGCAGCAGCAGCAGCAGCAGCAGCAGCAGCAGCAGTACCATCAGCAGCAGTACCACGCGAGTCAGCAGCAGCAAGGGGCGCTCAACTCTTTGCAGCTCTCAGCGGCCTCCATCGCGTCGCTCCTCGGCACCTCCGACTCCGCTGCCATGGCCGGACCTGGCGGAGCCCCCGGATCGGGGCCGTTGGGCGGGGCGGCGGGGAAGGGGTCTATGGAGGGAGGAGCGTCTTCGGCGGAGGAGCGGCGCAACGGCGGCTCGCTCTCGCTCGTCCCAAACAACGCCTCGCGCACACCGCCGCCGATGGCTTCCCCTGGCGTGGGCCACGCGGGCCAATCTCAACCCGCGGGCGCGGGCGCGTTGAAAGGGGAGAACGGCGCGGGCGGCCCTGCGGCGGGCGCGGGCAGCGCAGGGGTGGTGGCGCGCAGCGACGGAAGCGATGGGGAGCAGGGCGGCGGCAGCGGCCGCGACGAGCACGAGCACGAGCAGGGCGGCGACGACGGCGCGGACGACGGCATGGGAATGGACGGCGCGGGCCGGCCCGTGGGCATGCGGAGCGGGGGTCGCGTGGGGTCGAGCCGGTACGAGTCGCAGAAGCGGCGCGACTGGAACACGTTCGGGCAGTACCTGAAGAACCACCGGCCGCCCGTGGCGATGTCGCGGTGCAGCCCGCAGCACGTGGTGGAGTTCCTGCGGTACCTGGACCAGTTCGGCAAGACCAAGGTCCACGCCGACCACTGCCAGTTCTACGGCCTCTCCGGCCCGCACCCCTGCGCGTGCCCCATGAAACAGGCGTGGGGCAGCCTCGACTCGCTCATCGGCCGCCTGCGCGCCGCCTACGAGGAGAACGGCGGCAAGCCCGAGAACAATCCCTTTGCCGCGCGCATCGTGCGCGTGTACCTGCGCGACACGCGCGAGCAGCAGGGCAAGGCGCGCGGCATGTCGTACGAGAAGAAGAAGCGCAAGCGCCAAGGCGCGCAGCCGCAGGCGCCGCCGCCCAGCCAGCCGCAGGCGATGGTCGGCGGGGCGGAGGAGGGCGGGCGGGGCGCGGACGGCGGCAGCAGCAGCAAGGACCAGGTGGGCACGTTCTCCCCGCCCGCCGTGGAAAGCGGCGTGAGGCACGGGCAGAACGACGCGACCGTTGGTGGTAGAGGCTCAGCGGGCGGCGGGGGAGGAATGGGCGCGGGGAGCCTGCAAGAGCAGCGCGGACTGGGGCACCTGCTGGGGCCGGGGGGAAACGCGCTGATGCCCATGGGGGGAGGGCAGGGTGCAACTGGCAACCTTCAGCAGGCACAGCAGCCATCCTCGCTGCTATCTCTCCCGTTACAAGGCCAGCAGCACCAGCAGCAGCACCAGCAGCAGCAACAGCAGCAGCGCATGGGGGAGGCGCATCAGGGGGCAGGGCAGCAGGGGCAGGGGGGGCAGGGGCTGTTGGAGCAGTTCAACGCGACGCTGCGCAACCAGCTGGCACTGCAGCACGCGCTGCAGGGGCAGGGGCAGGCGCAGGCGCAGGGGCAGGTGGGGCTGGGCGAGCTGAGCGGGTCGTCGCTGCTGGAGCTGGTGCAGCTGGTGGGGGGGGGTGGGCAGGCGCAGCAGCAGCCACGGCAGCAGCAGCAGCAGCAACCACAACTGCTGCAGCAACAACCGCAGCACCATCAGCAGCAACCACTGCAGCAGCAGCAGCAGCAGCAGCAGGGCGGCGGTCTGAGTCAGGTGCTGAGTCGTCTGCTGATGGGGCAGGGCCCTGCTGCCCCCGGTGCATCGGACCTGCTGGGGCAGGTGGCGGGGCTGCAGGGGCTGCCGCCTGAGGCCAACCTGTTGGGGCAGCTGCTGCTGTCGCAGGCGCTGGGGGGAGGGGCCACCGCCATGCACTCTGGCAAGCCCTTGGGGGGTGGGGCGATGGGGGGTATGGGCAACAGCGGTGGGGGAGTAGGGATGCAGAACGGCAGTGGTGGGCGAGGCGGCATGAGTGGAGGCACGGAGTAGGGCGGGTGGCCTGATGCGGGCATTCTTGTGCTGCTTCAAGTCAGCCACATGCCCGTCCTGCACCATCATGCCTTGTCTCTGGCCATCCATCCCTACCTCCATCTAATTGGGCGTAGGCTGTTATCTTGGATTGTTAGCTGTGTTGCTCCTAGTCTTGGTGTTCCTTCCTAGCATCCAATAAAGTAGCTTATGTTTCTTACGGCAAGTGCATTGGAGATTTATGCAGACTACATGTTTTGAAACTTAGTTGGATAGAGGGCGTGGCACTGGCTTTGTGACTAGAAGCATCTTACCCAACGTTCCAAACCGAACCAAGCCATTCCAAAGCTCGAGGCACCTTACAAACAGAATGTGCCGACCACACCACCAGACCGGAAAGCATCGCGTCGCGTGTCTCTCCGTCGACTTGCCCAGCGCCGTCATTCCAGCCATGGCTCCGTTCCGCCGCCGCCACAGCATTCGCGTGCTGGCGCCGCGTGTCCTGCTGCTGGCTGTCGCAATTCTGGCGGCTAGCGCGCAGAGCAAACGCGTGAAGCAGCGGCAGCAGCAGGCGGCGAGCGCGGGTACGGACGAGGGGCCGGTGGAGTCGTCCGTCTTCGCGCGGCGCCTCGTGACTGCCGACGTCTCGTACCGCGACATTCTCAAGGTCCGCTGACCCTCCTCCGCCGCTCGTCGGTTCCGTGCCATTCGCTTTGCCATGCGATTGGCGTCTGACCGCCGTGCGTGTGGTGCGTGCGTGGCGCCGTGCGCGCAGGAGCACGCGCGGTACTGGAAGGAGACGAGTCGGCGACACTTCAACGGCACCGTGCTCGCTTACGTCACCCCCTGGTCAGTCGCACAGCGCCATCACGGTTGCTGCCGTACCCGCCTCCGTCTGCCCACCGTCCCTCCATGCTGCACTCCATGCTGCCCCGCTTCGCTGCCATGCCGTGCAGTGCCGTGCAGTGCCATACAATGCTAGGCTACTCAACCCATGCCATCCCATGCCATCCCATGGCGTGCGTGTGAGAGCCCATCAGGAACGGCAAGGGATACGACATGGCGAGGCAGTTCCGCCGCAAGTTCACGCACGTCTCGCCCGTGTGGTTCCAACTCAAACGGTGCGCCGCCTGCTGCTCATGCCGTGCCGCCATGCCGCCATGCCGCGTATCGCCACTTCGCTCGCCATCTGTATGACCCTGGCTTGTCCCCTCTCCCTCTCACTCCAACCACGCCGCCATCCATTCCTCTCCTCACTACCCTTTCCCCCCTGCCCGCTGACCCCAGGGTGGGCGGCAATCTGCAGGTGGCGGGGGAGCATGACGTGGACGTGCCGTGGATGGACTCTGTCAGGCAGGACGGCGCCCAGGTGGTGCCACGTGTGCTGCTGGAGGCCCATGACACGTCAGGCATCGTCAGCTCTGACAAGGAAGCGTCTGAGGCCATCAGGCTCATCCTCGATACGTGCAAGTGAGCGCGGCTAGCCCCGCCCCTCTCATGCGCGCTCTCTGCTCATGTATGCATGGCATCTCTCCCTCTACAACTTGCACCTTTCATCACTTCCTTTCCCCCGCCTCTCTCAGCGTCCTCCCTGCTACTCCCTGCTTCTCTCACCCCCAACCCCCCCTCTCTTCCCCCCTCCAGGCGCCACCATCTGGACGGCATGGTGTTGGAGGCGTGGTCCACGTGGACGGCCACGGGGCTGCTCGCCTCGCCCTCCTCCCGCGCGCGCGCCCTCGCCTTCCTCGCTCGCCTTGGGGACGCCCTGCGCGCCACGCCCAACCCCTCCTCGCCCGCCACGCGCCTCTCCTTCTTCCTCGTCATCCCCCCAAACGCTGCCGCCGCCCTGCCCCCCTCGCAGCAGCGCCGTGCCCCCGCGCACGCATTCACAGCGGCAGATCTGTTGGCGCTGCACGCCCACGTGGACGGCTTCTCCCTCATGACCTACGACTTCTCCCCGCCCTCGCACCCCGGCCCCACGGCGCCCCTGCCGTGGGTGCGGCTGTGCCTGCAGGCGCTGCTGCCGGGGGTGAGGCCGCAGTACGAGGGGGCGTATGGCGAGGCGATGGGGCTGGGGGCCGAGGAGTGGCAGGAGGAGACCAGGCGCGGCAGGGAGCTCAGGAGCGTGGGGGGGGGAGAGGAGGAGGGAGAGGGGGGGGCCGTGGTGAGGGGAGAGGTGGCGCGGGAGATGGCAGGGAAGGTGCTGGTGGGGCTCAACTTCTATGGCTATGACTTTGGCCCGCATGAGGGTGAGACGCTCCCCTGCCACACACGCCATGGCCACTTGCTGCTCTCGTCTTCGAAACTTCCATGGCTGCCGTGCAATTCCCTGCAGTTGGCTCCCCCTGTTACTCTCTCGCCCCCAAGCATATCAACCCCTGCTCTTGGTGCCAGCGCTGACCTCCCTCCTCCCCCCACGCTGCCCCCCAGATTACCGCCCGCTGCTGGGACGGGACGTGGTGGACCTGCTGGAGAGGCACCACCCGCAGGTGGCTTGGGACCCCGAGGCGCGCGAGCACGCCTTCTCCTTCGCCGCGCGCCCCTCCGGCATCCGCCGCGCCGCCTTCTTCCCCTCGCTGCTGTCGCTGGCACTGCGCATGCGCGAGGCCAGCGCGTGGGGTGCAGGGCTGTCCGTGTGGGAGATCGGGCAGGGGCTGGACTACTTCTTCGACCTCCTGTAGCGTCGCTGCAGCCGCACAGAGCTGGCAGAAAGTGTCACGTTATTTGGTGACTTGACAGTCTGTGGTTCAAGCTGAGTAGGTAGGTTGCCACACAGGTAGGCTATTCTTGTATTCTAGTGTCTAACAGTGGAAAAGACAAGCTGGTCTGTGCAAACTATACAGTAATAACAGTATGTACAGCAGAACATACAAGTGAGAATGTACAGCCAGAGCCAGTACGCACAACTGCGCCTCCCAGTGGCCTGCCAGCATGGCAGCCGTCAGGAGTCCAGCCCTAGTCGCGAACGAGCTTGTCCTCCGTCACCACTATCACGCGCGGCCCCTCCACCCCCGCCATGTCGTCTGACACCACGCCAGCAGCACCTGCCAGCGGCCCAATATCCTCCCCGGCCATGCGCACCGCCTCTATCACATCCACCCGCCGCGATATCACATCCTCCCCTCTCCCTCCCCCAACTCCCGTTCCCCCCACCGCCTCCCCTTCGCCCTTCTGGTCCCCCACCGCTTGCACCTGCTGCGCATGCCCCTGCACTGCCTCCCCCACTGCCTGCGGCGCGCCCCTCACTGTGTCCAGCAGCGAGTGCACCCCACCCCCCACGGCCCCCGCCATGCCCCCCAGCGCGCTGCTCACACCGCCCCCCATGGCAAGACCCAGCCCGCCTATGGCCTGCCCAATGCCCTCCACCGTGTCGTGCACGCCCCCCCCCACCGCACTCACAGCCGACCCCACCGCGTGCGTCGCCCCTCCCACCACTGCCTTGGCCGCCTCTGCCGTGCTCACCCCTGCTGCCCCCACTGTGTCCCCCACCGCCCGCCTGCCCTCCACTGCTGCCCGCCCTGCTGCCTCTCCTGCGCCCTCCACCGCCCCTGCTGCCGTGCCCACACCCCTCGCCGCTCCCTCAGCTGCTGCCTGCGCTCCCTCCTGCCACAACAACCATGGGCGGGTGGGAGCAGGGGGGAAGGGGGGGGCAGGTTTGAATGCGAAGGCATGAAGAAGGTTGGGGGAAGGATGCACGCAGTGGAAGCATCAGGAGGCGAGGATGAGGCAGTAGCACCAAGCGCGCACCTTCACCTGCTGCCCCACGTCACCCGCCGCCTGCCTGCCCACACCAGCAGCGCCCTGCACCGCCCCATACACCCCTCCCGCCCCTCGTGCGCCCATCTTCAGCCCCTCACTCGCTGCCTCGCCTGCCTTCTCCCCCACTGCATGTGCTGTGCCCCCCACTGCCCCCACGCCCCGCGCTGCACTCCCTAGGGCCTGCTTGCCCACCTTCCGGCCCTCCTCCCCCAGCGCCTGCGCCGTGCCAGCAACAGCGCCCGCACCCCTCGCTGTGCCCTCCACAGCGTGCCTCCCCGCCACACTGCCCTCCTCCGCCAGCCCCTGCACCGTGCCCGCCACTGCCCCCGCCCCCCGTGCTGCCGCCTGAGTCCCCTCCTTTGCCGCCTTACCCGCCTCCTCCCCCGCACCCTTCGCCATCCCCGCCACCATCCCCGCCCCTCGCGCAGCAGCCTTGCTGCCCTCCCTGGCTGCCTCCCCCGCCTGCTCCGCTGCCCCCTTCGCCACCCCTGCTGCTGTCCCCGCACCCCTGGCAGCGCCCTCCACCCCCCTCTTCCCCGCAGCCCCCCCTTCCTCCGCCAGCCCCTGCACCGTCCCCGCCACCACCCCCGCCCCCCGCGCTGCTGCTCCAGCGCCCTCCCTCGCGGCCCGCCCTGCCTCCTGCCCTGCGCCCCTCACCACGCCCGCCGCTGTGCCCGCGCCCCTGGCAGCAGCATCCGGCGCCTTCTGAGCCGCCTCCCCCCCTTTCTCGTAGCCCCGACCTGCCGACCGCATGGCAGATTCACCAGCCTCAGATGCGCCCTCCCTCACTGCCTGCACGTGTTCGTCTGTGCTCTTGTGCGCGCCCCCGAACAGCGCCTCACCAGCGTGGCCCACAGCGCCTCGGATGCCAGCCAGTGCTGCTCCCAGCCCCGGCCGCGCCTCGTGTGCCGCCTCAGCGCCCTGCTGCTGCGCCGCGTGCTGCTGGGCGCTCAGCGACGCCTCAGTAGAATTGGCAGCCGTCTTGTGACCCTGGCGCTCAACCACGCCATGTGCTGACTGCAGCCTGCTGGCCAGGGCATGTGCACACATGGCAGGAGGCGGTGAGCACATGGGGTTGTTCTGGGGCATGGCATGGCGTGCGTGGGCATGGTGGAGTGCTGACGGGCGGAAGTAACATGGGTGAAGCAAGCTGTGGCCAAGCAACGCTCACTTCTCCGTCGCCTGCCACATGCCCTCCTCCCGCCCCTGCTGCCTCTGCTGCCCCTCCCGCGCTGCCTGCTCCTCGGGCTTGACGCACTCGTAGTGGCCCGTCGGCGCCTCCACCTGCACCTGCGGGGCGCACGGCACGCCATGGCCCCACGCGCACGGGCAACGGTGAGAAGCATGTCATGGGATCAACTGGAGGGCCACATTTACGGCCATAACGCCTGCACGCGTACCTTGGGCTTGGACTCTTGACGCGACGCCATTCTGCAGGGATCGAGGATCGTGGAGTGCGGCCCGCTGCCGCAACGCGCGGAATGGAGCGGAGGTGCGGGACGGAGCTGAGTGAGTACTGGCGCGGCAGAGCTCGCTTCGCAGGCTGTGCAGTGAGTGGTGCGAACAAAATGACGAATGGCACAGAAGGAAAGGCTTGCAGGGGATTATAGTAGGCGCAAGAGGTTCGCCTCGCTGAATGGCGCCTCGCAGAGGGCGCCTCGAGAGGCGCATGTTAGCTCAACATGTGCACGACATGCACAACAATCCATGCTGGCGCCTGGCTGAATTAGAAAGCTGTGTGTGCACGTTGGCTGTACATTGTTCTCAAGGTGATTGACTGGATTCGTAACATCATAAGAGCTCACAGCAAAGGAGTAAGGTTGTTACATTATAATAATCTCTAAAGATTAAGCTCGTTCAATGAAATGCTAGACGTATCAGCCCTTTTACAGACGATACATTTCGTACATATTCGTAAATACACTTTTATCTTTCGTTTTTGTGTGCGTTTCAGCAATTAGTGTTCAGGCCCGTTTTTACACTTGTTTGAGGGATCCGTCTGCTTGTTCTCCGTGCTGTACGTCTGCTCCGTGCAGTGTCCATCAAGTGGCTGCCCATGCACCCCCCCAGCTCCATCAACGTCCCATGGCTGCTTGAGTGTGACCCACAGGCGAGTTGTGAGTGAGCCATGGGAGACGCGGACGAGTCAGCCGGCGATGACATGGAGGCAGCATCAAGGGATGGGCAGGCAGGGCTGGTGGAGGCGGAGGAGGCGGCGGCACACGCCAGAGGGGCCAGCATCTCCGCCATGGCTGCACTCGCCGCATCTCTCTGCTTCTCGGCTGCCGCAGCAGCAGGGACAGCAGCCGGCACCCTGTTGGCGAGCCAGGGGTGGGAGAGCAGGTGCGCGGCGGAGGGGCGTGAGTCGGGGTCGACGGAGAGCAGGGAGCGGATGAGGTGCTTGGCCTCGGCGGACACAGTATCCCAGGGCTCGCCCGTGAGGTCGGGCTCGTTGCTGCAGATGGCGAGGAAGGTGTGCGGCAGGTCGGGCGCCCAGAAGGGCACATAGCCGGCCAGCATCACGTACAGCAGCACGCCCAGGCTCCACATGTCCGCCTTGCCGTCGTACGCGCGGCGGCACACCACCTCGGGCGCCATGTACAGCGACGACCCCGCCAGCCCCACCGCCTTCTCGCCCGCCCGCACTGCCACGGCCTGCCCGAAGTCCGCCAGCTTCACCGTCACGTGCGCCAGCGCCGCCGCCGCGCTGTGGGGGTCGGCGAGCAGCGGCGCGGCGGAGGGCCCGTGGAGGAGCAGGTTCTCGGGCTTGACGTCCAGGTGCAGCACGCCGTGCGCGTGGCACCACGCCACCGCGCTCACCGCCTGCGCGAACACCGCCGCCGCGCACCGCTCGGGCAGGCGGCCGGCGCGCGCGATGAGGTCGAAGAGGTCGCCGCCGCGGCACAGGTCCATGACGAGGTGCACGTGGCGCGCGTCCTCGTGCACGCTCGCCAGGCGCACGATGTGCGGATGAGGGGGCAGCGCGCCCATGCACAGCAGCTCCATCTCCAGGTCGCCCCGCCGCTCCCCGCGCACCCGCGCCTTCTCCACCGACTTGCACGCCAGCACCTGCCCGCTCCCGCGCGCCATGCACGCGCGCACCACGCCGAACTCCCCCCGCCCGAGCTCCTCCCGCGCCACCGCGTATGCCGCCTCCAGCGGTGCCGTCGCGAACGGCAGCACGCGGTCGCACGCGGCGAAGTCGCAGTCGAGGGTGACGTCAGCCGGGCTGCCCGGCGACGGCCTGAGCGCGGGTTGCGGGGAATGATCGATGGCGCACTGCATGGCGGCGCCGTGCGTGCCCCCCTGGACGGCAGTGCTGCATTGCTCCCAGGGCTCTATTCTGTCTGCTGCTCGTGACACCGCAGCGCATTGCGTGGCCATGGCTTCAGCTGTGTCTTCCGAAGAACGGAGTCTGTCAGTAGCGATGCGTGTAGCTGCAACGATGGGGTGATAGCTGCAAACTTGGCGTTGAGCGTGTGAGCGCGAGGTGGGTAGTGCGAGTGGAGCAGCGAGACAGCGAGGGGCCTTATGCACTTGGTGACTGGGGGCATGACCGACGCAAGTTGCAGTGCCGCTCACCCAAGGATGCTCGCAGTCTCGCAGTGGCCGCTGTTCCAGCGCACTGCGCCGTTCGCCGCGCTACAACGACGCCTATCATCCGACGCGCCCCACCCCCCTGCACGAGCTCTGCCTGCACCGCGTCCATCCGGGGTAGCAGCGACGCTCGCACCACGAAACCGATTCTGCAACGGCCAACGGAGATATGCTGCGTTGACCGCCCCCCCACCGCCGCCATGGCACGCCCCGTCGTTGCTCCAGCGGCGCTTGGCCCTCTGCTGCGAGCAACGCGCAGCAGAAAATCATTGGCGAGGCCCCGTCGCCCACCTAACCTCGCCGTAATGCCACGACGGGCGCGCGGGGCACGTGATTAATCTGCTGCTATGATGAGGGTCTCCGCGTGGCGAGCTGGCAGCAGAACTACTCGCGCAAGAACAAACGAGGGCGCATTTTGTGCGGGTTGCGCTTGCCCTGGCGGGGGAGTTTGCAAGGAAGACGGGGATTTGGGGGGCGAGCGGGCAACCGCAAGGCGCAACGAATGCGAGGGGAGGTGACGACACGCGGAAGGGAACTCATCAAACAGTCGTGCGTTCTGTTACAGTGCCACTGTCACTGTGACGTGCTCCCGCGGGGGACGAGATGAAACGACCCGAACTCTGCAAGCCCACGTTCCAGCTTTCCCAGAGGGAAACGACAAGTCGGGCAACACGTCTGAAAGCATTCCGCCAGCTTGTCGCGAATGTCGTTCGCGAAGGATTCCACGAGCGGGGGGGTCACAGTTCTCACACCTGGCCAGCACCCCCATTGGCCATTGGCCACTGATTATGACAACTCCTCCTCGAATCTCTTGGCCAATCTAATCGCAGAACCTAGAGGGGCGTACGCTACGCATGCGAAACGGTTTCCCCCTGCAGGTCACGTGACACGGCGGAGAGAAGAAACGGAATCTGATGTGAATGCACCGACCATCTGGATGTCCACGAACGGGTACAGTAAACCTTTGAACTACACGATTGTTCTCCCTATAAGTCAAGCAATGTAAAAAATATTGCTAGATGAATTCATAAATAAATAACAACCAACTCCATCCCATTGCTCTCCCATGACTTTGGACCATGAAATCCACAGCGAATGACGCGGCACCACGTGTGCAGATCTACCCCCAGCACACTGACTGCGTCTCCGATTTCTTGCGAGGTGTGCGATGCTCGTGATTGCCGTACCTGCTGACGTGGCTGAGTAGATATACTTGCGCGTGCCGGCTGGATTCATGCCAATGTCGAGATTCAGGGTTTCGGGTTTAAGAAGGGTCGAACGACCGCAATGTCCGGCACGGAACTCGCCTGACATCTAGATTGAAGGACCTTTACTCCCGCCGGCCACTCACCGAGCCGGTTTGTGGGGGAGTGGGGCCAGCGCCTCTTCCGCGGGGGTGGCAGCGCGCCCTTTCTGTCGCCCCCGCCCGCCACTCATCCAGCCCTCCTGTGCCCCGCGTCGCTCGTCTGTCCTGTGCGCATGTGCTCGCTGCTGACGGCGGCCGCCAGACAAGTACGAGCGCGAGGCGCGGCGTTACTGGGACCTCTTCTACAAGCGCAACGGCGAGCGGGTGCGCGCGTGGGGGAGAGAGAGAGAGCGATGAGAGACGTGCTCGCCCCGCTCGCCCCTCCGCTTCCTCCCCCCACCGCCTCTCCGTCTGGCCTCTTCTCCCTCTCTGCTTTTTCCCAACGCTCTCCGTACCCAAACGTTTGTTCCCCCCGCCTCACTCAACTTCTCCAATTCCAATCCCCCCTTTCCCCCCTCCCTCCCCCACCCCCCTTTGCGCGCGCAGTTCTTCAAGGACCGTCACTACCTGCAGCAGGAGTGGGCGCACTTCCTCAGGGGGGAAGATGGGGGCGCGGAGGCAGGGGCAGGGGGAGCGGAGGGGAGGGAAGAAGGTGTAGCGGTGGCCGCAGGCAGCGGCGGGGGGAGGTGCGCGTGTGGGCGGTGCGTTGCCATCAGGCGCGTGGTGCTGGAGGTGAGGGGAGAGCCGTGCGCTGAGGAGAGTGTGAGTGGAAGGGGCGGTGCGCGGTGCACCATGATGCGCAGAGCACCATGCCCCTGTCTCCCCCAATCCCCTTGCAGCTCGCTGCCCCCTCGTCCGCCTCCACTCGTCATTCTCCTCTCCTCACGGCGCTTCATCGCCCTCCCCCCGTCTGCAGGTCTCATACCCCCTGTGTTCCCCCTGGCCCCCCTATCGTTGCCCCCCCTCCCCCCTGCCCGCAGGTGGGGTGTGGCGCGGGCAACACGGTGTTCCCCCTGCTGGCGGACGACCCCTCTCTCTTCGCCCTCGCCTGCGACTTCTCCCCGCGCGCCGTCGCCCTCGTTGCCGTGCGTGAAAGAGGGGGGGTTGGGGGGAAGGGAGGGGGACGAGGACCAGGGGGATAGTAGGGGGCCGTGGGAAGGCCTGCGTGTGTGAGCCGCTCTGTCCATGTGGGTGTGTGTGCCTTCATGTGTGCGTGTGTGCATGCAATCACTCATGGGTGTGCCACTGGGTGTGCTGCTGTGTGCCTCTCTGTGTCGCACTGCATGCTGCTGAGCAGGGCAGCTCGCTGTACGACCCGCACAGGCTGAGGGCATTCGTCGCTGACGTCACTGCTGACCACCTCCCCTCCGCCATCGCTGCTGCCACGTCGCCTGCCGTCCCAACCGCCACCAGCGGCGACAGCAGCAGCAGCAGAAGCAGTGGTGGCGGCGGTGCATGTGCGTGCTGCGTGGCCACATGCCCAGCAGTGTGCCCTCCATCTCACGTGGATGTCGTCACCATGGTGCGTGACGAGTCAATGCGGTGCAAAGATCCTTCCGTCATTGCATGACATCAGCTTGCAATGACTCAATGCGGTGCAAAGATCCTTCCGTCATTGCATGACATCAGCTTGCAATGACTCAATGCGGTGCAAAGATCCTTCCGTCATTGCATGACATCAGCTTGCAATGACTCAATGCGGTGCAAAGATCCTTCCGTCATTGCATGACATCAGCTTGCAATGACTCAATGCGGTGCAAAGATCCTTCCGTCATTGCATGAAATCAGCTTGCAATGACTCAATGCGGTGCAAAGATCCTTCCGTCTCTTCTCCCCACCGCCACCCTCTGCCCACCCCGCCCTCAGGTGTTTGTGCTGTCGGCCATGTCGCCGGACAAGATGCCCCTCGCCATCGCCAACGTCGCCACTCTGCTCAAGGCATGTCCCCTCCCCCATGCGTGCCTGCTCGTGCTCTGGTCCCGCCCTGCCGTAACCTCTTTGCGGATCACTGGAGGGGCTCTGTTCCATGCTGCATGCCCACTGCACTGCTTTCTGGTGCTATCTGCCTCCCCATTCACTCCCTCACTACCCGCCCCTTACCCCATCCCATCCCATCCTGTGGCATGTGGTGCAGCCAGGCGGGCATGTGTTGGTCCGAGACTATGCTGCTGGCGACCTTGCCCAGGTATAACCTCACGTGGCTTGCTCAGGTGGATTGCTCAGGTGGGTAGCTCAGGTGGATCGCTCAGGTGGGTAGCTCAGGTGGATTGCTCAGGTGGTAGCTCAGGTGGATTGCACAGGTGGGTAGCTCAGGTGGTTGCGCAGGTGGGTTTGCTCAGGTGGGTGGCTCAGGTGCCATGCAGGGATGCACCGCGCAATGTCTCCAGGCCATCGCGCTTCACAAACGTGCTCCTTTGTTGTGCTGGTCTGCGTCTTCTTATCCCAAGCCATTGCCCCCATGCGTCGATCACACCACCATCCCACCTGCCTCCCCGCAGAAGCGGCTGAGCCGCAAGGAGCAGCGCATCGCCGACAACTTCTATGTGCGCGGGGATGGCACGGTGAGCAGGAGCAATGGTACGGTGAGCAGGAGCGATGGCACGGTGAGCAGGAGCGATGGCACGGTGAGCAGGAGCGATGGCACGGTGAGAAGGGGGGATGGCACGGTGGGTGATGGCAGCTTGGGAATGGCATGTTCAGCACATAGTCATTGTTTTGTGGGTTATGGCACTCTAAGCAAATGAGAATAAGAATCCATGCCTGCCTTCCCAAAGCAGCCCTACCTCCCCTCCCTCCCCAATGCGCCCTCCCCACTCCACATCCCCCGATGGCAGCGCGCCTACTACTTCACCGAGCACGCGCTGAGAGAGCTGTTCACAGGGAGCGGCATGGAGTGCGTGCAGATGGGCGTGTGCGAGCGCACCGTCACCAACCGCGCCAGACAGATCGATATGCACAGGTGCCTGCCACTAAGACGTCATGCTGTTGCATGAATGCCCACGACTCGTCTCAACGCCCTCGTCTGGTTTCACACTATCTGTAGCCTGCCCCCCTCCCTTGTCCCGTGCTCCCTTCTCCTCCCCCACGCCCCTCCCCGCCAGGCGGTGGATCCAAGCAGTGTTCCGCCTGCCGCTTGCCCCCGCTGCTGCTGGGGGGGATGATGGGGAAAAGAGGGGAGATGATGGGGAAAAGAGGGGAGATGATGGGGAAAAGAGGGGAGATGATGGGGAAAAGAGGGGAGATGATGGGGAAAAGAGGGGAGATGATGGGGAAAAGAGGGGAGATGATGGGGAAAAGAGGGGAGATGATGGGGAAAAGAGGGGAGATGATGGGGAAAAGAGGGGAGATGATGGGGAAAAGAGGGGAGATGATGGGGAAAAGAGGGGAGATGATGGGGAAAAGAGGGGAGATGATGGGGAGAGGGAGGGCAACAGTGGCGAAGGGGTGGGCGATAGCAGGGATGAAGGCAGAAGAGGGAGCAGTGCGTCACGAGCAGAGGGCAGTAGGAGGGGGGCAGCAGGCAGCAGCATGCAAGCGAGTGACGCTGCCAGCGCGAGTGACGCTGCCAGCGCGAGTGACGCTTCCAGCGCGAGTGACGTGGACTGCAGCGACCTCTTCCTCTCTGACCCACCCCTTGAGGTGCCCCGTCCCTCCTCCTCTTGTGCTCATGGCTTTCATGCGCACCACTCCCCTCTTTCCTTCCCCTTGCTCGCTCCCTTTACCCACCTCACCCTAATACTCTCCCCCTGTCTTCTCCCGTCCCCCCCTCTCTTCCAAATCCCTATCCTTTTTTCCCCCTCCCAGGATCACGCCCTATCTCTCGCCCACCTGCCGGTGCGTCTGTCGCTGCTGTCGCGCGAGCACCAGCACACACACGGCAGCACGGGCCGCCTGCTCTGGGACTCCTCACTCGTCCTCGCCGCGCTGCTGCTCGCCCACCCTGCCCTCACGCGCGGCGCCACTCTCCTGGAGCTGGGGTGCGGCGGGGCGGCGCTCTGCTCGCTCGCAGCCACTCACAGCGCACCACTTGTCATTGTGGCAACAGATGGGGATGAGAGCGCACTCAGCTTGCTGCCGACGAATCTGGAGCTGAATTCGGGTAGCTTTGAGACGGGCAGAGTAAAGGTGTGTGAGCTGCGGTGGGGCAATGAGGGGGATGAAGCGATGGTGCGGCTGCTGCTGGCAACCAACGTGGGTGGGGGGGGACAGGGGCAAGCGGAGGGGGGAGGGAGCAGCACAAGCCATGCGGAAGGGGGCACCGCAGGTGATCCGGGTGTTCATGGGTGCAGTATGGAGGGAGACAATAGTGAAGGTGTTGATACTGAACGCCAGCAGAGAGGGGGGTATGACATCATCATCGGGGCTGACGTGCTGTACGTCCGTGACGCCGTCCCGCTGCTCTTCCAGTCCGCCGCCCGCCTCTTGGTACGGCATGGTGGGCGCGGGCCCGTGCCGGTGCTGCTGCTGTGCCACATCACGCGCCACGTGTTGGAGCCTGACATCCTGGCGGCAGCGGCAGCAGCGGGTCTAGAGGCGGCTGAAGGCGAGCTGGCAGAGCGCGTGGGGGGGAGTGTGGAGCGGGCATTGCAGGCAGCGGTGGCCACGGCCTTCCCTGGTGAGGGCCGACAGCCCTCGCTGTTCCGCCTGCTGTGCTTCCGCGCCACGAGATAGGTTGATGCGCTCACAGAAGCCTTTTTCACATCTTGCTCACATGGTGGAACTTGTGATGAGTGTTCTCCCAATGTAATTGCCCCGATGACGTACACAATTCAGATTGTATGCACACCACAAAGTCCACACCATTATTTTCTCCGCCAGAGGCAATGAGGACCTGAGGGCATGGGTGCGTGGAGGAGCGATGAACTAAGCAACCCGGGGGGGAACTGAACGGTAGGTGTGTGGGATGGGAGGAATCCAGGAGATTTGTATTGATGGCAAATCACATTGCATTATCACAGGCTAAGTATGGTTTGTGCGAATTTCCGCACAAGGGAGTGTGGCACAGGCGCGCCCGTAGCGGCATGTGCGCGATCAGCTACTATGGTACATAAGTATGGCGAATATTGGCCGCAGCCGAATTAAGACATTGTCCGCTTGTCGCATTCTCATAGAGGGCAGTACGAGCGATACTGCCTCGCGTCTTGAGTCAGTCGTCACCTCTCCTCCGGTCACACGAAGCTCGCGCGTTCACCCGATGATTCCTCGCAACCGCTTCAGGATGGTTTGCGAGACGGCGTCCAGGATGGTGGGCGCTCCCGTCGCCGCCATTGTCTCGGGCTTCGGGTCCGGCTTCGCGGCGACGTAATCGTCGTCCTCGGCGCCGCTGAAGTCCTCGGAGCCGTGCAGGTGGTGGAACGCGTTCGCGATGGCGGCCGCGGTGATCTCCTCGTCGTCGCCCGCCTGCTGCGACTCGAGCTCCGCGAACGGGAACGCGTCGTCCTCGCTGTAGACCACCAGCTCTTGCAGCATGTCGGCCTTGCTTATAGCGCGACTCACGGAAGCCATGCTCAGTAGGGCGACGACAGCGATCAATAATGACAGCGGCAATCTAGATGAAGCCATTGGTAGCCGGCTTTGCGTTTCTGAAGGGGAGGTCAGGAGAACTTCACGCAGCCGAAATCACAGCTGGAATGGACGCTGAGGCCGATAATTACACAAGGCGGCTGTCAATCGTCGATAGGCAAAGCGATAGTCAATCGTTGAGTGCTAAACGTTATGCAAATCGCTGGGGAGAGAGCTATGAAGAGAATGAGGGAATGGCTTGAATTTAGCTACGAATGAGGGACTGGTTTGAATGAGGTGGATTTGTAGGAGTCGCCAGGAGCTAACCATGGCTGGCGGCAGTGGAGGCGGGGTGCGGTGAAGTGGTGGGAGGCAGCGACAGGGAAGAGGGGAGGAGGGGAGTGGTGCGCGCGCCTGACGACGAGCTCCTAACCTCGGCGTTTCTGTTCACGTGCTGGGGACGGGTACGCGGAGAGAGACCAAAGCGACAAACGGGTAAACGGTGGTGTGGACGGCACCCGTCTAGCTAGACGACCGCGGTTGTGGCTTTGCGTCGTCAAAAATCGCCAGCGCAAGTTCGGCGAACCACTGAAGAAGGTTCACTAGTGCTATGCGACAGGGGCGACAGATTTGGCGTGGGTTGTGCGAGTGATCCACGCAAGGCGGAGCCGCACTGGGAACTGTTTCTCGTCAGACTGACAAACCCTGAGGCACCGCGGGAGTTGGTGGGGTGGCTGATCAGCCAACAGAACACTCCGTCAGCTGACAACATCGCCAGGGGTGGGAAGCTGAAATCACGCTGTTAGATGAAAGCTGCTGGCGTGGAAACACCCCTGGCCACGTTGCAATCACTCTTCATGCCTACATACTATCAAACATATATTTATATGTTACTATAGGCTAGATAGGTGCGTACTCTTAGAGAGCACAAAACCACCGTGTATCACACATTCTACTTACTTCGCTACTTTGATATGGTATCACGCTAGGTTAGGTCCTCCCCACCCACTCGCGCTTCCGCCCCACTGGCCCCGCGATCACCAGCCCCGCACTTGCTGGCCCCGAGCTCTCCAGCCCAGCGCCCGCTGGCCACGCGCCCGCCTGTTAAATTATATTGGTTATATATAATTGTAGGCTTGGTAGGCATTATTGAAACCTACTGTAGAGGGTACAACCCCCTCATTGTATCCCTCTCTCTTCCTAATCTATCCTCTTTTCTCTCGTAACTTTCTCCTAGCCTAAAACCTTTCGCCATCCATGGCGTCTTCTCTTCCTACCTAGCGTATTTTGTTTAATATGGTATCAGAGCAGGTTGCCCCTCCCGGGCATGCTCCCCATGCTTCCGCCGCGTACTCGCTCTTCTCTCGTCATTTTCGTGCTGCCGTCGCAGCACCGACGCGCTGCCGTGGCGACGTCGTCGTGCTGCCGTGGCAGCATCGACGTGGCGCCGCGGCATCGACGCTGCGCTGTGGCGGAGTCGTCATGCTGCCGCGGCGGCGGCGTCGCGCAGCAGCGAGCCGCACTTCGTTTTAGGCGGCGCCAGCCCTGACGCCCGCACGCCAGGCCAACGCCAGCCACGGGCGTGTTGCTAGACCACACCCCCTTCCCCCCCCTGTGTCTTTCTCTCCTCCAGCCACAGCTGCTGCTTCAATGCCCGGTCGTCACCGGGTCGTGTCACGCCGACGAGCGCCGCGAGCCTCGCCGTAGCCGCCGCCGTCGTCGAAGCCGCCGCCACTGGCCTTTCTTTCCGCCGCACGCCGCTGCCGCTGACGCCGTTGCTGCCACCCGCTGGGGGTGTCACCGCTTCGCACGAAGGGTAGAAGACTCACCAGCTGCGGCACATTGGGGTGCCAGGGTTTTGGGGGTGTTTCGTGTGAGGTGGGCTTGCCGCTACCAAGCCTAGGGGGTGTGTTAAATTATATTGGTTATATATAATTGTGGGCTTGGTAGGCATTACTGAAACCTACTGTAGAGGGTACAACCCCCTCCTTGTATCCCTCTCTCTTCCTAATCCATCCTCTTTTCTCTGGCCCCGCATTCGCCAGCCCCGCGCTCCCTGGCCCCGCTCCCTGGCCCCGCGCCCGCCGGCCCTGCGCCCGCTGGGCCCACGCTCGCCAGCCCCGTCCCGGTTGCCCCGCGCCCGCCAGCCCCGCTCCCGTCGGCCCCGTGCTCGCCATTCCCGCGGTCGTTGGCCCCACGACAGCTGGCCCCACAACCGCTCGCCGCTGGCCCCGCGTTCGCCAGCTCAGCGCCCGCCAGCCCTGCGTCCATCGGCCCCGTGCGCCCGCTGGCCCCGCGACTGCTGGCCCCGCACCCGCTTGTCCCGCGCCCACTGGCCCCGCCTTCACCAGCCCCGCGCCCGCTGGCCCCGCATTTGCCAGCCACCTGCCGCCGGCCCCTAGCTCACTGGCCCCGCGCCTGCCGGCCCCCACGCTCGCCAGCTCTACGCCCGCCGGCTCCTTGCACCTGCTGGCCCCGCACCTGCAAGCCCCGCTCCTGCTGGCTCGTTTTCCCCTGCGTTCTCCTCCTGTGTCTCCTGATCCGACGCCTCCCTCCCACTTCTAGTCTTGCCGTCCCTCTCGTGCTCGTCTTGTTTCTCCTGTCCAGCGCTCTCACCATATGTTGCTCTGTTCCCACGAGTCTCGTCCTCCCCTCCTCCCGTCGCCTCCTCCATCCTCGCTGATTGTCGCTCCGCCTCCCTTCTCTTACTTCCTCCATGCTGCTAGTCCACTTGTTCCACGTCTGTTCCTGTATCCAGTCTCGACGCTCTTGTCGTTGCCGTTACTGACGTTGCATCTACCCATCGTCTTGACTACGCCACTGCTCTGGTCTCTGACCCTGCCTGTCCTCCATCAGTCGGGGTTGCTCCTGCCCTTGGCAATGACCTCCTAGAGGACAAGCAGTACAAGCTTTCTTTCCTGTCCGAGACAGCACCTCATCTCTGCTCCATACTGTTAGTCCCTGAGGGTGACTCAAACGCCTTTGACATCCCGACCCCTCGCACTTACGCTGAGGCAACCTCGGAACCCTGTGCCTCTCAGTGGATAGCTGCCATGGACGCAGAGATGGCATCTTGGAGATCCACCGGCACCAATGTCGACACAATTCCCCCACCTGGGGTGAACGTCATTAATGACCGGTGGCTGTTCAAGGTGAAGCGCCCTTCTAGTGAGCCGCCGATGTTCAAGGCGCGCTACATTGCTAGAGACTTCAGTCAGCGCGAGGGTATTGACTTCTTTCATACCTTCGCCCCGACCCCGAAGATGACCACTCTTCGGGCGCTGCTACACCTAGCAGCACAGCGTTACTACGAGTTGCAATCCTTTGAATTCTCCACACCGTTTTCTTTTGGGTAGTCTTCACGAGGAGAACTACCTTTGTCGCCCACTAGGCTTCACCGGTACCTTCGCCCCGGGAATCCTGTGGCTCCTCCGGCGCCCAGTTTACGGTCTGCGGCAGGCGCCCCGAGAGTGGCATGACACGCTGCATGCTAGATTAGCTGACCTCCAGTTCTTCCCGTCCTCTGCACACCCCTCGCTTTTTGTTCGTTCATGCCAGACCCCGTTCTACATCCTTGTCTACGTAGACGACCTGGTCTTTGCCACTGCAGATAGGGATGCACTGGCCTCTGTGAAGGCCGAGCTGCTGAGAAGACACATCTGCACTGACCTAGGAGAGTTGCGCCGCTATCTTGGCATGTAGATCTCCAGTGACAGAGCAGCACCTGGTTCTTCAGAGGTTCGGTCTTTAGTTCTCCTCTACACAATCCACACCTCTGCAAGTAGATCACAGGCTCTCAGCTCTAGTCTCTGAGGAGTCAGTAGAACCTAGTGGTTTGTACGCAACACTTGGCCTCCGGTGCCAACATATCTATATCTTTACGAATGCGCTTGCGCCTAAAGATCATCAATGGCACTGTGTAGAGCTTGGTCTAGTTCGTGTAGCTTCTCACTTGCTAGGACCTTGAGTGTGTACTACTCCTTTTATTTTCTTGACTGGCCTTGTGGCTCTTGTTCCAGTAGCTGGACTAGTAGTGCTGCTCTAGGTTATTCCTGTTTAGTTTGTACTCTTGCTGACTGGTCTTTGGACCCTTGCATCAGAGGTTGGACTAGTAGTGCCACCCTGAGCTGCGTGTCTCTTGCCCGGCACTGCCCCTCATCTAGCCTAGGGGTTGCGTCAAACATATATTTATATGTTACTATATGCTAGATGGATGCGTACTTTTAGAGAGTACAACCCCTTAGCACAAAACCAACGTGTATGACACATTCTAGTTACTTCGCTACTTTGATACATACGACATCTTAAATTATATATTTTGTTATATACAGTAATTGGTAGGCTTGGTATGTGTTATTGCAACGAACTGTAGAGGGTACAACTCCCCTCCTTGTATGCCTCTCGCTTCTATCCTCTCTCACTTTTCTCTCGTCAACTTTCTCCTAGCTAAACCCTCGTGCCATTTTCATGGCTTCCTAGCTACCTAGTCTCATAACATGGTATTAGAGCAGGTTGCCCTTCCCGGGCCTGCTCCCTACGCTTCCGCCGCGCATTCCTTCTCTCCCTCTCGCGCTGCCATGGCGGCCGCGTCGTGCTGCTGTGGCGGCGTCGTCGTGCCGCGGCCTTCTCGACACGCTGCCGTGGCGTCGCTCTGTCGTGGCGTCGCTCTGCCGGGGCATCGATGTCGCACTATGGCAGCGTCGTAATCAGGCCCCCAAATTGGTTTTGGGGGTGTCTGATTCATCAGACTTGCTTGTCATCCCTTGGTATGGCCATCAGAGTCGCCCCTTAAAAATCAGAGTAATAAGAGATTTTTTGTCTGATTATTCAGAGTTACCATTAAATTTTACGCTGATTATAAAACTGGTGTTCTGTATGTCTATTTTCTCCTTCCCTTTCCTAATCCAGGGCTCTCTCTTCTTGCGTGCTCTTGCTATCTGTGTGCTGGCGACAGATAGCAAATGGGGCGGGCGAAAAGGAATTGGGGGGCGGGCAAAGTAAAATTGCAGGGAGGGAGGGAAATCGCGCCATCCACGTGGCTATTTCGTGAAGGGCCAATGGGCGCCGTCGCACACACAACCCGCAGCAAACATCGGTAATTTTTTTCAATGGCCAATCGGCCCCACACCTGCACCCTGCACAAAGTGGGAGGTGATTTTGGTGAAGGACCAGTCAGCTCCCTCACACAGCCCCCATAACGCACTGGCCTTTGTTTTTTGTGAAGGGCCGGTGGTAACCGCCCTCACAAAGCCCCCCGCAAGCATCGCGCTCTGATTTTGGCTAAGGGCCAATCATCTTCCCTTACAGGTAAATCACGCTCCTCCGGTGTTACACAAATCACCCCCCCATACAAAGTTGAGGCATCAGAGTACACTAGTAGAAAAAGTCTGAAAAATCAGCGTAGGTACATAAATCTTCTCTGAAAAAAGTCTTCCCAATCAGAGTACACCCCCAAAAAAAGTCTGAATCAAAGTAAAAAGTCTGCAATTTGGGGACCTGGTTGTAATGCTGCGGTGGTGGCGCCGTCGGGCGGCAGCCGACCACGCAACGCCGGTGGCGCCGCTAGACCTGCCGCCCGCTCGCCTGCCACGGGCGTGATTCTAGACCACGCCCCCCCCCCCCCCCCCCCCCCCCCCCCCCTTCCCTTGCGTCCCCTCTTCCTTGCCACAGCCGTCGATTGCCTCGTGAGGGCCTTCCCCATAGCAATTGAGATTGGCCATGCCGCCGAGAGGGCGGGGGCCGCTGCAGTCGCCTCTGACGTTGAAGCCGCTGTTGCCGCTGGCCTGTTGCCGCCGTACGCCGCCGCCGCTGTCGCTCTCGTCACTGCCGCCGCTACCACCATTGCCATCTCTCGAGCCGCGGGTGTTGACCGATTCCGGAGTCATCGCGGCTGCTGCTGGAAATGGGAGGGCTAGGTTAAGGGGTGTGGGTGTGTGTGGGCTTGTTACTACCAAGCCTAGGGGGTGTGTTAAATTATATATTTTGTTATTTAATTGGTAGGCTTGGTAGGTATTATTGCAATGAACTGTAGAGGGTACAACCCCCCTCGTTGTATGCCTCTCTCTTCTATCCTCTCTCTTTTCTCTCGTCAATTTTCTCCTAGCTAAACCCTCTCGCCATTTTCATGGCTTCCTAACTACCTAGTCTCGTGACACGACCATGTAGACGAACTTTCTAATTATCATAGACGTATACTTATTTGATTAGGATTCTGCCAACATCCTTACAGCGAGAAGCTATAATAATGACCCCCACTTCGAGTTGGACCCAACTCGAAATGGTTCGGATCAAGAGTGTATTGGTTGGAACCTTGCGAGGCGTGTTTTTTTTTCCCCCGACAGTTCTTACATGGCAGATCCTTGGCGAAAATATTGCAAACAGACATTTTGCCTGATTGTCGGATAACATTATCACTCGCTACGCTGCGACAAAACTAGCTGCGGATATAGAATTTGGAAGCCAAGGCACACCCTTCCTCGTCAGATATCACTTCCAAGCCCTGCAAAGCAACACATTTCACCAAAGACAGAGTGCAAAATACCAGAGAAAGAGAGAGTGAGCGAGCGAATGCAAAAATCGAGGGCATGTGATCATACATGAGTGGGGACGGATATACGCGAGAGGTGTGGAGAGAGGGAGATATGGCGGGAGCGACAGGCGAGCGAGTGTGGCCCCGCGGGAAGGGAGTGGCATGGCGAGACGCTCGCTCCTCCTCTCTCTCTCTCTCTCTCTCTCTCTCTCTCTCTCTCTCTCTCTCTCTCTCTCTCTCTCTCTCTCTTTCTCTCTCTCTCTCTCTCTCTCTCTCTCTCTCTCTCTCTCTCTCTCTCTCTCTCTCTCTCTCTCTCTCTCTCTCTCTCTCTCTCTCTCCCCCACTGCGCCACTCTCTCCCTATTCTCACCTCCGCCTCTCTCCTTCTAACCGTGCCACTCTCCTCACCACGTCACTCTCTCACTCTCTCACCGCGTCTCTCCCGCTAACGACGCCTCTCTCTCCTCTCTCTCTCTCTCTCTCTCTCTCTCTCTCTCTCTCTCTCTCTCTCTCTCTCTCTCTCTCTCTCTCTCTCGCCGCGTCTCTCACCCTTTCTCCCCCCGTTTCTCCCTATCTCGCCCGCGTTTCTCCCTCTCTTGCCCACGACTCTCCCTCTCTCGCCGCGTTTCTCCCTCTCTCCCCGAGTCCCTCTCTCTATCGCCGCGTCTCACCCTTTCTCCCCGCGTCTCTCCCTCTCTCGCCGCGTCTTTCACCCTTTCTCCCCGCGTCTCTCCCTCTCTCGCCACGTCTCTCCCGCTCACGCCGCGTCTCCCTCTCTCTCCCTCTCTCGCCCGCGTTTCTCCCTATCTCGCCCGCGTTTCTCTTTCTCTTGCCCCACGACTCTCCCTCTCTCGCCGCGTTTCTCCCTCTCTCCCCGCGTGTCTCTCTCTCTCTATCGCCGCGTCTCACCCTTTCTCTCCGCGTCTCTCCCTCTCTCCCCGTGTCTCTCTCTCTCTATCGCCGTGCCTCAGCCTTTCTCGCCGTGTCTCCCTCGCTATCCGCGTCTCTCCCTCTCTATCTCTCCCGCTGCGCCACACTCTCACAGCCCCTCGGCACTAAGTTTCTATGCGGTGGGGCAGCTAGCGGAACTAGCTTGCTTTCTCGGCGATTGTTTGCTAGCTGGATATCGCTTTGCGTGGGGAAGGTAGTGAATCCTCGGCAATTGTGAACCCAGGCCCAACTTGAAAACGAGTTGGGCCCATCTTGATCCGAGAGCCCCAACTCGTTGCTTGCACTCGCCGTGCAAGCGTCGCATCGAGAAATGCGACCCCTGACAAGGATTCGTTGTCAGATTTGTGTGTCGCGCATTTCGCCCTGCGATAAACATTTTGGCGGGACCCAATCAGCTTTGAGCTGAAATTCCGATCTGCCTACCCCTGCCATTTTGGAACAGTTATTTGTTGAAGCTGGTTTCCAACTTGAGTCGCTCAGAGGGAGCCCTCTTTCAAGTTGGGCCAGCCTTCACTATTTTAACTTCTCGCTTTAATTTCCCATAATGAGTGACAGCAGGTGCTCCTTCAGTAGGTATCGCATTCCACGCCATGGCTCAAGTCATTGGTGCAATGGTATAAATGAGTGTTTGCGTTAGGTGTGTGGTGCAAGTTTGGCTTGGTAGAGTTGTTATCAAAAGTATCCGTGCTAGTTGTTTTCATACAGCCCATTGCTTCATGTTATCCTGTATTTCCACGTTATCACTAAGATTCCAATACTTATTACAGCTAAGAACCAAGGCTTCAAAGCCCCAAGTATGACATAGCTAAGGAGATTCAAGCTGCAGAAACCCATAAAGAAATCAGCTCTGCTAAGACAACGAAGTCAGTAGAGGCAAAGAAAGCTGTGCTAAATGGTGGGGAATCTGGGGGCAAGCAGGTGTAGGGGTTCTCACAGTTGAGCTTCTGATGCCTGCTCCTCCTTATGGTCTGCTGATGCGTCACCTTGTGGTGCAAGGACTATCGGAGCAAGGACCCCCCCTGTCTCCTGAGGTGTCAGGGCTCGCTTGTATGCAGAACCATCAGACTGGCGACCTCGGGGCGCACTGTTAGCCCTCGTCCTGGCGCGCGTGGATTCAGTGGTCTCCATGAAGTGAGGAACAACGCGGGGCGATGCACTGGCGCGTTTGAAGGATGCTGATGGCGAGAGAGGTGCATGGGTGCCCGAGTTGGAAACTGAACGGTTGGCCGATCGGCTCAGGGAGCCGGAACCAACCACAGCATCTGCAAGGGGTTGTGGTTCATGCGAAGCTCCAAGTGACAGACGCGAAATTGCAGCTGCTGCCCCACGGTTGTTGCCAGTGGTCACAGCGGGGAAGGCTCACGTGGTGGAAGAGCTCCGACCTTGGCGGCCCAGGAAACTGTGGGAGCGCAGATGTTGCAGGTGTGGGGGATGGCCTTCGAGGGCGCAGTGCCATTAGCGGAAGCCTGAGCAGCAGCAGCGGCGTTGGCTGCGTGCGCGACGGAGGGCTTGACGAGGACACGGCGACCGCAGCTCTTGCACTTCCCCATGTCCACCAGCTCCACGGTGCGGTGGGGCTTGGACTCCACTGCCTGAGCCTCAAACAGACGGAGTGCACCCTGACGCTTGGCTTTGGGGTTAACGGCCTGGTAGTGCGCCATCATGAGACGATTCTCCCATGGCCGCGCGACCATCCAACGCTCCAACCAACTCCACCCCCATCCACCCTTGTCGGGCTCACAATCAATGTAAGCCATCGAGCGTTGCTGTGTAGGCTTCTCCTTCTTCCACAGCTGAACGAATAAGAAAAAACGAGAATTAGCTCCGACGAGACAAGAAAACGCAAAAAGCGTTGAGAACCATGTGTGTCACTTACCGAACGAGAGTCAGCATATGCTAAAGCCCGTTCCCTACGAAGGATGGCTTCCTGCTTGCTCTGAAGCTTTGCTTGAATCTCCTCAACCGTTCCAGAAGCATCGCACCATCCAACCTGAAATGAAAACGTTCGAGCGTCAAACATCGCAACAAAACGCGTCCCTGGCTGGCTTGACCGTTGTACTCAGGCAAACAAATCCTACCTCGTTGCGTTTGAGGACCACTTCCGGGTGATACTTGCGCGAAATTTTCTCCAACTGCCGCTGAACCAGTTGTCCCTCCCTGCAGCCACAATAAACCTCTGTAAGATGGGAAACCTTGTCAGGGAGCAATGGCCAATCAGAAAGGAGGCACGAACCTGGACATTCGGACCCGACGGGCACGGAACCGAGCCTGTACTCGAACGATGGCATGCATGCATCGAAGAGTGGCCTTTGCCTGCTTTCTGGCAATATGGCCTCTCACCAAGGCCTGTAGGCGAACCAGCCCCTTCAGTGCACGAAGAGCCTTACGGGCCTGATGCAACAACCATTCAGCGCAAGGACCAATGTCAGAGTTTTTCATGGGGAAAAAACAACTGTCCGGGTGCACTGGGTGTGAAGTAGCCAGATTAGCTCCTTTGCAATAAGCTCACCAGATAGCCACGATATGCAGTCTGAATTCTGATAGCTGCTGCAGACTCAGCTGACAACGCAGGTGCTGTTGATTGCTTCTTCGCGGCGCTGTACATGCGCCGGCCAGACCACGAAGATGTCGCGGTGCTCGATTCCCTCTTGGGCGAGGACTTCACTGATACGCCTGAGCACGACGGTCCTTCTGCAACGGATCTAGCAGCAGATTTGGAACGAAATGAGCGAGCATGCGAAACCGAGCCTTGAGAAACCGCTGGAGGAGGCATGGTAACAGAGGTGCAAGAGGTAGAGGGTGACTGAGGTGCTGTGAAGCGGGAACCATTTCCAGACTCCTTGATGGAGGGGGATGCTGGATTGGCGGAGCGACTGTAAGGTGACGGCGACCTGGCCGCTGAGCGTGAAGCCGACGGTGAAGCGGGAACTCGAGCGCTTGATCCATCAGGGTTGACATAAAATGAGGGAACTGTTCGAGCAGACTGAAACCGGTGAACTTTCTCGCGCAGAATTAGCAGATATAGCTGAAGATTTGAAGCTTTTTGTTGGCTGTGCAGTATCATCCTTCGAGTAGACGCCTTCAGAGTAAGAATCTTCCTCGAGGAGTTCCTGAGGCAGTAAGTCAGAGACAATGCCATTATTTGCGAGACGAGTGAAAGAGAAGACCCGAACTGAAGGAACACCATTTCCTCAGGAGCTCAATCAATTTTAAGGACCACTCACCTCAGGCTTAATCTTTGCAGGCTGAGGCTTACAGCGGAAAAGCGACTTCAACCACTTGTTCGTCATTTTCACTATTGAAGCTAAGAACTAGAGAGAATGAAGGCGTTGAATCACAGAAAGGTGCGAATCATGGCTATAGAAGATGGCAGAATGGACAACTGAGTTTGCCTGAACGGAGGAAGCAGATAGTGCTGAAGCTTCAAGCTATCCAACATCTATCAGCTGAACTCTAGTGGGCTGAAACTGGAGCTCTGGTTGGGTGGAATTTGGGGAGCACTGGGCTTTTCAGCAAGAGTCAACGACGAGCGCCGGATCCAAACACTGCTGCTGGAAGGAGCTCCCGAGGCGCAACCAAGGGCTGGCTTCAAACCTGACGGACGTGACGGACATTCGTGCTTTTGGGCAACTTTGCCTATACGACTCCGTTTTCGCCGCTGACACTGGTTGCCCAGACGTGCCACGTTTGGCAGATATTTGACGGTTTGGAGTTTCGTGAACGGCGGCCGAGCCTCTGCCGAGCGTCACGTTGATGCGCGGCTTGTTTGGCGAGCTTCGCGGCCCAGCGAAGGGGGCTCATCACGAGACCTGATCACGCTCGTGCCTCGGGAATGCCTCCATTGGTCAAACGTGGTTTTTAGTTGAGGCTGGGGAATGGTAGTTTTATGAAGTTGTGAATATTTACTTCATAAATGCAATAATACGAATTGTTCCTGATATATAAGATGAGTGGGCTGATTACAACGCGGGAGTTTGCTCATTGCTGCGCTGGAAACCTCAGACCAATCCACAAGTTGCCAGGGCTATCTTGCGCCTCTCCCTCCCAACTGAATCTATCAAAAGCCCACCTTCCCCCGCTCTTGTATATCTCTGGCGGCACAACTCATTTACCTGCCTTCGTACTGCTGACCGCCAGACCACCTATACCTTTCGACTCTTACCTCTGGATTCATAGATGTCCGTATTGTCAAGGACCTTCGTGCACTGCATTTTTGCGCCTCGCGTAGCGTCCTTAACGAGCACCCGAACCGCAGTTGTATCTGCACTCGCCACGCAAGTTCGAGTGCTAGCCTCGACCCTTTTGGCCGTTTCCGCTGCGCGGTTCGCCCCGCGATCCGCTGCTAACGCCGTTCACCACCGTGCGGCCCGTGGCGGCAGTGCATTCCGCGAAGTATCCGACCGTCTCTTCCACGCGCGCGTCACGCCAGTGGCTGTCCCATTGCTTGCGCGGCTCGGCGAGCGGAATCTGGGGGATATGGTGCATCAGACCACCGCGCTCTCTCCCCACCTGAGGCTCACTGCCTCCTTCTGCGCCTCTCGGTCGCGCCGCACGCTGCTTCCGCCGCCTATAGCGGGCACGGAGTGGCTCCACGCAGCCAACAAAGGCTGTTTGATCGCCACGGGAGCGGACAGCAGGATACCCGTCTCTCATTTTCAGGTTTCGGGGAGGGCTTTGCATGCTGCCAGCGACACATTGCTCAGAATCCGGCCTTGCGCCATGGCGCGCGGGGAAGAGGGATCTAGCAAGGTCGGCGCAGAGGGGGGGGGTTTTAACACAGAACCGGCGAACTCGCGTGAGGCTGACGTGCGCGCTAATCTGTCTAGAACAGCCAGCAACGCGAGCTCTGATAGCGGCAGCAGCAGCAACAGCAGCCATGGGCGGAGCAGTCTAGTGGTGATCTCTTTCTACAAGTTCGCTCGGCTGGACGACTTCGAGGCGCTGAAGCGGCCGCTGGAGCAGGTGTGCCGCGACCTGCGCGTGTCGGGCGGCGTGATCGTCGCGCGGGAGGGCATCAACGGCAGCATCTGCGGCACGCCCGCCGCCGCCGCCGCCGTCATTGACTGGCTGCGCGCCGATGCCCGGCTCGCGGGGCTACGCACCACCGTGCAGCCGGCGGGCGCGGAGGAGAGAGAGGCGCACCGCGCAGCGGAGGCGATGGAGGCGGAGGAGCAGGGGGAGGGGGGAGGCGAGGCAGAAGGGGAAGGGGGAGGGGAGGGGGGCGCAGTGGACGGGCTGTCGGAGTGTTCTCCGCTGGCGGCGGGGAGAGACGCGCCCTTCAGATGGAACCACGTGCGCGTTAAAGTGAAGAAAGAGGTGCGCGCAGGGGGGACGGAGGGGGCGGAGCGGAGGGGAGGGAGGGGAGGGGAGGGGAGGGGAGGGGAGGGGAGGGAGGGAAGGGAGAGGGAAGTCCCAGTGTGCTTCCTCATGGGGCTAGAGGTGCTCGCTAATTGCATGCCACACCCAGCACTCACGAATCCCATGTCTATCTCTTCTCAGACGCGCAAAGCTCTCCCATTCTCTCCCCCCTTCCACCCCTCGCCACGCTGCACTGGTCAGATCGTGACGCTGGGCATGCCCGAGGTGAATCCCGCGGATGGCGTGGGCGCGTATGTCAGTCCGCACGAGTGGAACCACCTCATCTCCGACCCCACCACCGTCAGTGCCTCCGCCCGCCCCGACCACCACCTACATCACTCATGCTCTACCAGCAACGCTGCTGCCTTCCCTCCCATTTCATGTCTCTCCAACACCCGACTCCCTCCATCATCCCTTCCCAATCGCCCACTGCTTGTCACCCACTTGCCTTCCCCCCCACCACCCTCCCCTTGGCCTCCCCCTCCCCTCTCCAGGTGGTGGTGGACGTGCGCAACGACTACGAGACGCGCATCGGCGCCTTCAAGCATGCCATCGACCCGCACACACGCTCCTTCCGCCAGTTCCCCGAGTGGGTCCTCCACCACCTCCCCCTCCCGCCCTCCGCCTCCCCTCACTCCTCCCCCACTGCCTCTCCCCCTCGCCCCTCCTCCGCCTCCACCATTTCCCCTGACCCCTCCCCGGACGCATCCTCCCCTGCACCGGCGTCCCCTCCGCGTGTGGCGATGTACTGCACGGGGGGCATCCGCTGTGAGAAGGCCACCGCGTACATGCTGCACCTCGGCTTCAAAGAGGTCCGCCCGCCGCCACGCCCTGTGCTGCCCTGCCCACGTGCTCGCCCTGCTGCGTGCCGTCGGGCCATGCCTCCCACACTCCCTTGCCATGGTGTCGTCTCAATAGGCCCAACAAGCTCACAAGCCTCCCATTTGCCGGCCCCCTCCCCCCCCCACGCTTGTCTATGTGGTGCACGTGGTGGTGCAGGTGTACCATCTGGACGGCGGCATCCTGCGCTATCTGGCCGAGGTGCCTCCCGACGACAGCCTGTGGGAAGGCGAGTGCTTCGTCTTCGACAAGCGCGTGGCCGTGGGCCACGGGCTGCAACCCACCGCCACCTTCCGCCTGTGCTACGCGTGCCAGCAGCCGGTGGACGCGGCGGACATGCAGTCGCCGCTGTGGGAGGAGGGTGTCTCGTGCCCGCACTGCCACGCAAGCAAGAGCGCTGAGGAGAAAGAGCGCGCACGCGCCAGGCAGCAGCAGTTTCAGCGGTGGGGTGCGGTGGGCGGGCCGGGCGGTGAGAAGGCAGAGCGGGCCGCTGAGAGGATGAGGAGGAGGGTGGAGAGGAGGAGGGGGGGGAGAAGAGCGTGGTGTGAGGGGGAAGGGGGGGAGAAGAGTGCGGTGTGAGGGGGGAAGGGGGACGGAAGAGGCACTAGTTTTGTTGTCCAGTGAGCATGTTCAACAGGCTTCTTTAGAGCGTGGTACACGAGGGCAAGGGTCAGGGCCGCATAGAGGGTCGGGGCGCAATGATGACACTTCACCGCACTAGACCACCTTTGCAGGCAAGCCAGCAGTGCAGCTTTGCAGTGGTGTGCCGATGCACCTACTACTTCCATGTTGGAACACCAGCAGGCCCTGGTTGATTGTGTAGCTTATCAACACGTGCCATCCACGGAGGCCGTTGATGCTGGAGCGGAACAAGCTGTTCCTTATTTATTAGCTGAACTAGGCACCATGGGATGGGATGGGATGGCAGACACAGACATCTCACCAACCACATGAGCTGGCCATGGCATGAGATGGCTCCTTCACCTGCTCTCTGTTGAACACGACCATCACTTGGTGAGCCGGAAACACATAACTCAATAAATACATTACAAGGCAACTCATAGCAGGTAGTTTTCCCACACCACAGTGCCACCTCGGGCGCAGAGCGGTCAGCCAGAGGCGGTGTAGGGCGGGTCGTGGCCGCTGAGGAAGGCCTGGAAGAGTGCGAACGCCTCCTCGGGCTTGCCGGTGGGCACCTGGTGGCCCGCCCCCCTCACCGTCACCCATGTCAGCCCCTCGTACCGCGTCGCCCACCCGCCCACCTGCACACACGGACACATGCACACATGCACACATGGATGCAGAGCGGGCATCACCAATGCAAGCAGGCGGAGTGGAGGGTGCTCGGGCACTGCAGCTTACCATGTGATGTGGTTGAGCGTGCGGTGTAACCATTGGTGCGCGATTCAAATTGCAATTCCCCCATCCCAAGAGCAGGCCTGTCCCAGCCGTACCTGGCCCGACGGCGCTAGCCAGGGGTACTGCGGCTGCAGCACGGCCAGCCCCAGCGCCTCTATCCACACGCGCGTGCCCGTGAACGGCACCACGCTGTCCGCATCGCCGCTGGGGGGATATGTGGCAGGTGGAGCGAGAAAAGGGAGGTTTCAGACCCGAAGATGTGAGTGCTGGATGAGGCGCATGCGTTTACGGCACGGATCACTGCCAGCAAAACGTTCAACGATGGTAGGGACCGAAGGAGAAGGGCGGAGAGACAAGGGCACATAAGGCGGGGGGCAGGGGGCGGGAGGCGGGGGGCGTACGAGAAGATCCAGAAGCGGAGGGGGTGCGCCAGCAGCCCCTGGATGGTGGGGATGATGTCCGCGCCCTGGTCGTTGCTGCTGTAGTCTATGCCGTTGCTGCCAGGGGGAGGGGGAGAGAGGGGGGATGGGGGCCTGAGGGGGATGGTGAGCCGAGGGGGATGGGGAGACGAGGGGGATGAAGAGATGGAGGGTACAGAGAGCAGCAGAGGCGAAGGCGGTAAAGAGAGGCAGGCTGCGTGCAACCGTGGCTTGAGCACCAGCCTACCCCCTGCCCTTCCTGTCCCCCCTGCCCTTCCTGTCCCCCCTGCCCTTCCTGTCCCCCCTGCCCTTCCTGTCCCCCTGCCCTTCCTGTCCCCCCTGCCCTTCCTGTCCCCCCTGCCCTTCCTGTCCCCCCTGCCCTTCCTGTCCCCCCTGCCCTTCCTGTCCCCCCTGCCCTTCCTGTCCCCCCTGCCCTTCCTGTCCCCCCTGCCCTTCCTGTCCCCCCTGCCCTTCCTGTCCCCCTGCCCTTCCTGTCCCCCCTGCCCTTCCTGTCCCCCTGCCCTTCCTGTCCCCCCTGCCCTTCCTGTCCCCCCTGCCCTTCCTGTCCCCCCTGCCCTTCCTGTCCCCCCTGCCCTTCCTGTCCCCCCTGCCCTTCCTGTCCCCCCTGCCCTTCCTGTCCCCCCTGCCCTTCCTGTCCCCCCTGCCCTTCCTGTCCCCCCTGCCCTTCCTGTCCCCCCTGCCCTTCCTGTCCTTCCTGTCCCCCTGTCCCCCTGCTCTTCCTGTCCCCCCTGCTCTTCTTGTCCCCCTGCCCTTCTTGTCCCCCCTGCTCTTCCTGTCCCCCCTGGCCCCCCTGCCTCACGTGCACACACTCCACTGCATGGCGCGAGCGGCGGGCGCCTTGACGGTCCTGTAGACGGCAGGCGAGCGCAGGTAGCGCTGCACCCACGCGTCCATGCACGCTGCGCTGTCCAGCGGGTCCGCCGCCTTGCCGCTCAGCCGCGCACCCTGTGGTGCAGCGCTGGAGGGATCACCCGGATAAGCCAAGGCACCCTGCTGCTGCTGCTGCTGCTGCAGCGCTTGTGCTGCCTGCTGCTGAGCGGCCATGGAGAAGCGCAGGCGCGGGTTCATGCGCACAAAGGCAGACAGGCGTGCTGCCGACACGTCCGCCAGACAGAAGGGCGCGTAGATGTCTGGGGGGGAGAGAGAGAGAGGGGAAGGGGGGGAATGTGGCTGTTGGATGGGGATGGTTGGAGAGAAGGCCCGCGGACAGTGGGGAGCAACGTGGTGGTGGGTGTGCAGGTGGGTGGGCAGGTGGGTGAGGCGAGCGCAGAAGGAGAAACTGGGAAAGGCGTGAGGCACCGGGGGAAGAGGGTGCAGGCGCCACTCACTGTAGGGATCGATGGGGTCGTACTGCCCACACACACGGACCCATGGCCATGCGTTGACACACGCGCGGGGCACGGCAGCAGAGAGGGACGGGGCGTGGGGAGGAAAGATGAATGCTGAACCCCACATGATCACACGAGCTAATCAAGACGTCAGCGAATGCATGCGAGAGATGTGGGGAGCGCGGGGAGTGGGGAGGGCGAAGGTAGCAAAGAGAGATGAAGAGCCGTGGCCAAGCCGTGTGCGCCATAGCTAAGCCGCACATCACATGTGATGCACCCACGTGGCACCTCCCATACCCCGTGTGGCATACCCATACCCCGTGCGGCATACCCATACCCCGTGCGGCATACCCATACCCCATGCGGCATACCCATACCCCGTGCGGCTTACCCATACCCCGTGCGGCTTACCCATACCCCATGCAGCATGGATACCCATACCCCATGCAGCATGCATACCCACACCCCATGCAGCATGCATACCCATACCCCGTGCAGCATGCACACCCATACCCCATGCAGCATGCATACCCATACCCCACAGCATGCATACCCATACCCCATGCAGCATGCATACCCATACCCCATGCGGCATACCCATACCCCATGCGGCATAACCATACCCCATGCGGCATGCATACCCATACCCCATGCATGCGGCATACCCATGGCGAGAAGGCGGCGTTGATGTGGCCGCGGCACTCCAGGTCGGGCGAGCCAAAGGAGAAGTCGCACTGCCAGGCGCACGGGGGGAGGGGGCGCATGGGGGGCAGACAGAAGCACACAGTGACGGTGGTGCAACAGCGAGGGTTGGGGAAATGAGAGAGGAGCAGCAGGGGAGGAAGGCAAAGGAAGACGCTTGTGATGAGGTCGGTGGGTGAGCAGAAACCATTCCAGAGAGGAAAGGAGCAGCGGTGGAGGGAACAGCGGTGGAGGGAAAAGCGGTGGAGGGAAAAGCGGGCAGGCGGGCGGGGCAGACATTGATGGCGTCGTTGTAGAGCGCGGAGCTGAGCATGCCGTGGTCGTAGAAGAACTGGATGGGGCCCTGTGGCGCGCGCATGCACACGCACATGCACACGCACATGCACATGCACACGCACATGCACACGCACACGCACATGCACACGCACATGCACACGCACATGCACACGCACATGCACACGCACATGCACACGCACATGCACACGCACATGCACACGCACATGCACACGCACATGCACATGCACATGCACACGCACATGCACACGCACACGCACACACACACGGGGGGGTGGATGGATGGGATGATGCGTGATGCATGGGAGGCATGGCAACATGCATGGGCGAGGATGCTGAAGCAATGAGATTGGATCGCTGCAAGTCCTTGCATGCATGACATGTGGGCGCCACTGGAAGCATGGGACGGGAGTGCCAGGCGCGCGGGTGGCCATTCATCAGCTGCAGTGGGCTGCTGCCTCGTGCCTCGTGCCTCGTGCCTCATGCCTCGTGCCTCGTGCAGCGCCCCCAGCTCCCCAGCTCCTCACGCATCCCCAGCTCCTCCCGCCCCCTGCAGCGCGCACTCCCCAATCCACCAATGCCCATGCTTGCTTCATGTCCCATGCCCCACCACATCCCACTGCCCACGGAAGCTATGAGGCGGCAGGGGGGGGAGGGGCAGCGGCGTGCCTTGGTGTCGTGGGCGTAGTTCACGAAGGGGTTGCCCAGGAAGATGCCCGACAAGTCCAAGTTGACACGAGTGCCGCCCTCCATCTGATTCTGCTCGATTATTCGGGCGGCGAGCTGCGGAATGTAGTGGCCTGGGGAGATGCGACGAGGGAGGAGGGGCAAGAGAGGAGCATGACATATCTGTTGGGCTGGGGTGCAAATGGCGGGAGGATAGACAGGCGTGGTAGCAGCAAAGGAAGTGGAAGCAACACACGCCTATTGCAACCATCACCCCACTCCCACAGTCTATGCTCCTCCTAGCCGGCCAGTCATCCCCCCCCTCACCCGCGTAGCTCTCCCCCGCGATGTAGAACTCCCGCCCCGCGTATCGCGGGTGGCGCGCCAGGAAGCCCACCAGGAACGCGTGGTTGTCCTTCGCTGGGGGTGGGGTGGGGGAGAGGGGGGAGGAGAAGAGAGGGAGTGTGGGATACTAGACGTGATGCGATGAAGGCTACGATGCACAAACACTGTCTTACAGACTGACGTGTCATCACCTGTCTGTGCGTCATCGGTGGTGTAGTCTGACGTGTCATTGGAGTAGGAGTACCCCACCCCCACGGGCGATTCGAGAAACACAACGTTCACCACTGCACGGGCGGGCGGCACGGCGGAGAGGGGCAAGGAGGGAGAGGGGGGGGAAGAGGGGGGGAAGAGGGTGATAGCCCGGTCGCGGGAGTGGGGGACGAACCAAGTGGTTGTGACAGCGTATAAGGCGGGGTGTGGCGGAGCGAGGGCGCGCGGGGGGGATGTGAAGGAAGGGATGTGCGGTGTGCGCGCGACTGACGTCGGTTCCAGGCGAATCGGTTGTAGACGAGCGCCGTGGCGGCCTTGGACGCGACGCGCCACGGCCCCACCTCCTCGAACAGCCCGCACCCCACCGACGAACACCCGGGGCCTGGCGGACACGGGGAGATGGGGAGATGGGGAGATGGGGAGATGGGGAGATGGGGAGATGGGGAGATGGGGAGATGGGGAGATGGGGAGATGGGGAGATGGGGGGATGGGGAGATGGGGGGATGGGGGGATGGGGGGATGGGGGGCATTGAGAGATGCGAGGAAGGGAGATGGAGAGGCGCGCGCGAATGCGTGGGACACGGCGGAGGGCGATGGAGAGGGACGCGTAGGTGACGCGCCCACATGCCCTGCGCACGCATGCACGCATGCACACATGCACGCATGCACACATGCACGCATGCACGCATGCACGCATGCACGGACGGACGGACGGACGGACGGACGGGCGCACGAGCCGCTGCGGGAGGAGCTAGGCGCACGACTGGCTCTACACGCGGCCACTTCTGAGGTGCGTCCCAAGCTGCGCAACGGCGATGCGGGAATTGGAGGAACGACGCCATGGTCGGAGCAGAACCTACACGAGGAATGCATATCCTTCTAACGCACTGACGGAGCGCCCTACAACGGGCGCCCTACAACGGGCGTCCTACAACGGGCGTCCTACAACGGGGGTCCTACAACGCACCCCCGTTGAGCGTCCTATAACGCTCCTACAACAGCGACGCACCGCCGTTGAGCCAGAGCAGCAGCGGCTTCGACTCGGGCTGGCCGATGGCCTCCATGAGCCAGTAGAAGTACGCCTTGCGCCCCTCCACCATTATGTACCCCGCCGACTGGTTGAACTTGGGCGCGCCCGCCGGCTGCCCGGGTAGCTTGGCGAAGGCATCTGTCCTGGCCTGCGCTACCGCTACCGGCACGCACGGCAGGGCCACTAGAGACAGAATCAGTGGCAGGAGAAGGCGAGCTAGAGGCGAGCGCTGCTCTACTCTGACGCGCGAACGGGAATCTCGGTAAGGCGTGCGTGCTATGGGGTGTGTGTGTCTCCGCGCTGCGATACGTCGACACGCGGGATGGGATGGAACGGGGCGACCGGACTGCATACTGCCGAATCCGCGGTCTCGTTGGGCGTAAGGTTATAACTAAAGAGGCTCGATGAGCTGTACATAAATCAAAGCAGTCCTAGTGGATTTGCGCCACGCTGAGTGACTATCGTGAATTCGACAGACTAAATGCTTCGCAGCTAATCCGACGGCGCACAACGGCAGGCATGGCTCAATGATCTAGTGATGGTCTGGGCATGAGCGAGGAGCAGAGGATGGCGCAGGAATGGGGAGTGAGGGGGACACGCCACGACACGAGACGACACGAGACGAGACGAGAGGCTTGTTGTCATGGTGGGCTCTTCTGCATTGCGCCGCAGCGAAGCTCTAGCATACTTCTGTACGAACAGAAGCGTGAACAGTACGGCGCACAATGCCGTCAGTGGCTTCCTGGCTTGAGCGACAACGACATGTGGTTCGAGCTTAGGCGAGCGGCGAGGGGGAGACAGGAGGAAGGAGGTTGGTGGTGGAGCGGTGAGGTGAGGTGAGGGAAGAACGGCGGAGTGACAGACCAAGGCGGAAGCAGGTGCTGCGGTGCGGGCACTTGTCTTACCGCCTCGTCGCTGCAGCGCCCAGCGAAACATGTTCCCCCTGCGCGGGTGTCGCTCGCTCTGTAGCTCTGTTGTGGGGTGAGGTGGGGTGGGGTGGAGTGGGGTGGGGTGGTCCCTCCTGCCTTTGGGTGGACGTGACAGCCTGCGCAGTTTGAGCTTGGGGAGGATTCGGGCAGCTTATGATTCATTGATGCAGGAAGTTGAGAGCACAGCGGGATGCATGGGGATGGAAGTGGCGGCGATAAACAATCACTCGCGGCGCTGTGCATCGCAACGGGCAGACTGGGCGGAGGGCGGGTCAATTCAGAAGCACTAAGCACCGACAGGCGAGCGATTTGAAGATGACAGAAGGCAGCACCTCTCTAACAAACCCTAACTAGTGACAGATAGTAACAATTTGCATTGGAACACATGAGCTAGCATTATGCAGAATTTACATACAAAGCTCGAACTGCTGTCTAAAAGGCCTGGCATGTCATCTGCCTCTACCAGTGCCCAGCACGAGAGAATCCATCCGCTCACCCAGCTCCGCCACATCAGCACCGCCACTCCTCCCCGCTCCATCACCACCTCCCCTCGCACCCATGCCCCTCCCCGCCTCTGAATTCACCCCCCGACTCACTTCACCATGCGGCGGTGCAGAACCTCCCACCTGACTGGCTCTGCTGCTGGGGTCAGAATTTCCAGGCCCATGATGGGGACGATCAGCAGGCACGGCACCAAGAGGTGTTGCCTGTGCTTGTCTTCCTGCCCCTGACTGTACCTCTGCTCGAGGGGAGGTTGGCTCAGGCCCGTCCAGCGAGGGCATTCTGGGCGGCACTCGGATTTCGAGCAATGATTGCACGGGCTGGCGGCAGATGGGGCACTTGTTGGTCTGGTAGCGCAGCACCTTGGCGCAGTCCGCACACATGCACTGCCGGGGAGGCGAGAGGAGAGGAGAGGGGAGGGGGGGGGGGGGTGTTGGGTGAGGGGGCGATGAGGGAAGCACACCAAAGCATTGCAAAACTGTTGCAATCATACGTTTGATAAGTGCTCAAGAACTTATCAAATGAACCTTCAAAGCGCATAGAGCGTGGTGAATGTGGCGCGAGTATGGTCACTAGAGCAAGAATGTTTATCCCTACCATGTGGCGGCATGGCAGCACGGTGGTGTCTCTGGGCGCTGACATGCATATCACGCACTCCTTGCCCGCCACCTCATCCTCATCCTCCTCCTCGCCCTCCAATGCAGACCCCCCACCCCCCTTACCCCCCTCCCCTCCCTCTCCCGCTGCCTGCTCGCCCTTCCTGCCCCTGCCTGTGGTGGCCCTCCCGCACTGCTCTATTCCGTAGATCTCCTGCAGGAAGGGCGATGCGATGGTACGGATGGACATAAGCGAGGCATGATGAAAGGAAGCACGGAGGGGTTGGCATGAAAGTACAGGGGGTTGGCATGACAATGTGATGCAATGGTAAGGTAGGTGCGGCGTCGCCGCGGGAGGAGCAGACACAGACGTGTGGTAACACGTTCCACTAAGAGGGTTACAACAGTGTCATGATGAGACTGTGGCGGCATGCAATGACGGGGGGGTGGCGACATGCAATGACGGGGGGGTGGCGACATGCAATGACGGGGGGGTGGCGGCATGCAATGACGGGGGGGTGGCGACATGCAATGACGGGGGGGTGGCGACATGCAATGACGGGGGGGTGGCGACATGCAATTATGAGAGAGCTGGGAGCACATATGGATGCAATGGATGAGAAGCTTGTACTAGACGGGTCAGCACCCACCTGCACCTCATAGCTCGTGCCATCCACCCATATCTTCTGCTTCAAAGGCCGCACAGCGAACAGCACCGGCAAATCCCCCCTTCCCTTCCCTTTCCCATTTTCCTCCCCCCCGTCCTCTTTCTCTGTACGCGTCACCGCAACCTTCTCAAAAACGGCGTAGGTCATCTGCGACTGTATCGCCCGGGACAGCGGAGCGCCGGGGTCAGATTCGCACGGGTCTACGCCGCCGGAAGCAAGAGGCGAGGCGGCAGAGGAGGAGCACGGCTCACTAGACGCGTTGCCGCGCGCGCTGGACTGAGGGTTACTGACATCGCTGCTAGCGCTACTAACCGGAGATGCTACTGTGGGGGGTTTCGAGCCTCTGGGTTCGACGCGGGTGCGGATGACGAGAGGGTAGACGGGGTTGGTGGGGGAAACCCCAAGGAGGTGCTCCTCCGGGATGCACGCGAGGTCGACGCCCGTGCCTGGCGCCTGTACGAACTTCTGACCCAGACCCTTGCTGAAGCGGAACACCCGTGCCGTGTGCAGGTGCGGGTACAGCTCCCTGAAGCTGCACCCCTCGCCCTCCTGCGCCGCGATGAACACGCTCAGACTGCACGGAGGAGGGGGGGGAGGGAGGGAGGGGGGTGCAAGAAAGCCGAGTTACATCAGCTCACAAGCAAATTGCATTCGAGAAAATCCGAGCGACATGAGAAAGACGAATCAGAAATAGTCTAAAATCCAAGCAGTCGAAACTCCAACCTGACGGGGAGGGAAAATTAGGAATCACTAGAAACCTGGTAGTTCTCACCTGCCGCTCACGGTGGCATCGAAGGTGAAGGCGACCAGGTGCTTGGTGGGATCGCTTGGATCGCGCTGCAGGCGCAGCGAGCTGCGCTTCACGTTCACCTCGTTCCTTATCGTCACCGCCTGCTGCGGCTCCGCCACAACCGGCGGAGGCGCCATCGCCATCATCGGCGGAACGGGCACCTGGTACGGCGGCGGCGCGTGGCCGGGATACCCGTTGTACCACGGGGCAGCGTGCGGATGCGGCGCGGGATGCGGGTACTGCGGGTTTTGCGACCATGGGGAGGGAGCCACTCCGCCAGCGGGCTGCGGGTGGTACGCGTATCCATAGGGGTACGGCGCGTGGGCGTAGGGAGGTTGCGGAACGGGGCCTGCGGGAACGGTGTAGGGCACGGGCGGGTAGTACTGCGGCGGCCTGGCAGGCTGCGACCGACGCTGATGCTGACTCGCGGGTTGACTCGCGCCCGCTCCCATGGCTGACGCACAGCTCTCACCGAGATCCGACTTATACGTCAAACGGATCCACGTGCAGTGAAGTTTGCTGAACCGGCGACCGAGATACAACTGCCTACGTGATGATCGCACCTAGACCAGAAGCGGAGTAGGAATCCGCAAGGTCACCATAGAACCGAAGGTTAGTAGAAAAAATCTCGCCGAAAGATGCGAGCGCAAGCATCAGCGAATACATCAAGTTTAGATGCTCTATGACGCAGTCCGCTGAAGCAGTCGTGGATGAATGGTGCATAGATGCAGTGGACCTAGAAACTGCCACAGGAAGAAAGCAGGCCCTGATGGGAAGTGGAAGAGGCCGGCGGAAGTGGTGGTCCGCGCGGGCGCTGTTTCACTGCGGCGATAAGAGGTGGAAGACGAGCCAGAGGGCGGGAGAAAGCGCGTGCGCAAAGGAAGATTGGCGCAGTGCGGTCAGCAGGGGGGACTGGAGTCGGTGTCAGCAAAGGGTCATCGCACCGCACATGCCGCGACCAATCACCTGCGTGGCACGGCACTTGGAAGCATGACATGGGAACTTCCCTTTCGGCGAACAAGCGAGGTTTGCTAAGACGATAGTTACAGCTTCGCAAAGTTACACAAAATACTTCCTGTGGGACGTATATACATGGCTGTCAATATTGCTAAACCCATGCGAAGTCGGAGGTGTTTGTCCACCTCAACCAATGGACACCGACGAATGTTGCTGTGCTGGATATGTTTCTGTTTTCCTGACCACACCTGAGTCAGCCGCGGTGAGATCCCGAGGGCAGAATTCCCAGGCTGTCATACCCGCCCCTCATTTTCACGTGACTAGGAGCCAAGATTGTTCCCGAGCCAGCTTATGTGGCATTCCTTCACGCGCTGAGATCGGATGACCCTAGTTGGGAGCCAATCGAGCGGTTTGCATAACGTGGTGCCACGTGCCACAAAGCACTGCCTTCTGCTTGCCAAACCTTTGCTCGAGGCTGTATGCGCTAGCTCGCCACAAGCCAAACCACCTATCCCCTTCCCTCCCCCTTACTCCCCCATCCGCGTGCTCCCACAACCCACCCCACCACAAAACCAGCATCCATTTTCCCGCATTCACCACAAAACCAGCATCCATCTGCAGACCTTACCTCAGGTCTGCTGTTGCTCGTCCATGGCTGCGCACTGAGCATGAAGGTGCTGAATCTTCCGACTCTCTAAGCGTAATAGCGCTATTGAAAAGCGTGTAATATATTCTAGCGCTCTGGTGCTCGGACATTGGACCGATGGCTAGCTCCGTCGGAATGGCGTCGCTGGGCAATTCATGCACCGTTGCAGTATCGTCCATCTGCACCGTACGTTTCGGTTCCCCCTCCCTTCTCCGCTGTATTTTCTGGAAAATAATCAATCTATCATTTTGGGGGAGAAGCTGGTTATTCCCGACTGCCTGTAAGCCATCCGTTCCCGAATTCACCCATTAAAGCCTTTTACCTGGATCAACCGTTTCCAGCCTCGCAGGCCTCGTAAAGTTCAGGCGAATGTCGGATGGGCCAGCAGCAGCCTTCTATGTCGCACCAGTCGATCGACGCCAGGTTGGTCACTTCAAATCCAGCTCCTTGTTCCTCTTCCTCGCATCAACTCCGCCTCTCTGCCCTTCTCGTTTGAGCATGTTTTGAGCATGCCGAGCGTCTACGCGAGGTCTCGCAATGCTTTCACCCGTTTTCTTGAGCACCATTCCCTTCTTCTGTCGTTTTATTTCTCTGTTCCGAATCTACGTATAAAGAACCAACCTTACCTTCAACATTCCCCTTTCCATGGTCTTCCAGCCGCTGTGTCTCGAGTGGCTCGATTCCCTTCGGTTCAGTGCGGCAGCAGCCCCACCCCCCGCCGCGACGGCGCAAGCATCTCCACGGACGACATCCCCGCAGCCACCGCCAAGCCCACCCGCTCGGCCAGGGCTCGCAAGGATGCTGTTAGCGAGACAGCTACTGACGAGGACAACGGCAGCGCTGTTGAGAAAGCCGACCCCATTCGCCGACGCACCCGCGCGAGCAGCAGCAGCAGCGGAGCTAAGGACAAGAAGAGCAAGAAGGGCGCATCTCCGGCCAAGGCCGGCGAAGACGCGGACGAGCAGGCGGGAGGGGCAACCGGCGGGGACAGGAGGCGGAAGAGCAAGGCGCTGAGCGAGAACGAGGGCAGGCTGGCGCAGCTGCGGGAGGAGCTGCAGAAGGCGCTGGAGGAGCGGCAACGGCTCGCGGCGTTGCTGCAGGGGAAGGCGGAACCGGAGGAGGCGGCACCGGGGCAGGCTACGCGCACGCCCGTGGGGGAGAGGGCGACTCAGGCGAAGGAGGAGGCGGCGGCAGCAGCGGTGCGGAAGGCGGCCGCGGAAAGGGCGCGAGACGAGGCGTTGGCGCTGAAGAAGGAGGAGGAGGCGCTGAGAGCGGTGCAGGCGGCGGAGAAGGCGGAAAGGGAGGTGGCGCAGGCGCGGGCGCGGGAAGAAGCCGCGGCTGAGACGCGTGAAGTCGCAGCAGCGCGCGCGCGCGAAGAGGCGGAGGCGAAGGCGGCCGGGGAAGCAGCAGCGAGGGCGAGTCGAGAGGCCGCCGCGCGGGCACGGGAGGCGGCGGAGGAGCGCGCGAGGGCGGAAGCCATGGCGAGGGAGCGGGCGGAGGCGGAGGCGAAGGCGCGCGCGGAAGCGGCGAGCATGGTGGAGCTGCCGCGGCGGGAGCAGCTGCGGAAGCTGCAGGAGGAGCACGAGTTCATCGCCGCCAAGATGTTCTTCTACCCCGGGCAGGCGCAGCCTGGCAAGCCCGTGGAAATCTTCTTCCACCGCCCGGCCAGCGTGCTGAAGGACAAGTCGGGCGTGAACGTGGTGGGCGCGTTCAACAACTGGCAGTGGCAGCCGTTCAAGGCCGAGCTCAAGCCGTCCACCGAGGTGGGCAACGACTGGTGGACGTGCGTCATCCAGGTCCCGGCCGAGGCGTACCAGGCGGACTTCGTGTTCCACAGCAACGACAACGTGTACGAGAACAACGACGGGCACGACTTCTACTTCGCCGTGACCGGCGGCATGGGCGAGGAGGAGTTCCACACCATGCTTAACGAGCGCAAGCGGCAGGAGGCGGAGAGGGAGGCGGCGGAGGAGGCGGAGCGGGAGAGGCGCGCGGAGGAGGAGCGCAGGGCCGCGAAGCTGAAGGCGCAGCAGGAGGCGGAGCGGAAAAAGGCGCGCGACATGGCGAACGAGGCGCGGAACAGGCTGGGGGAGATGCGGCGCACGTGTGGCACGAGTCTGGAGGGCGTGTGGCGCGTGGAGGAGGTGGGGGGGGCGGGGGGGGGAGAGCGCGTGGTGCGGCTGCTGTATAACAGGGCGGGGCGACCGCTGGCGGGGAGTGGCGCGGTGTGGGTGCATGGCGGGATCAACGGGTGGCAGGACGGGCTGTCCGCCACGGGCGAGCTGAAGGCAGACAACAAGGACCATGGCGACTGGTGGTCCATACAATGTGCGTGCTGCTGCCCCCTCCCACTCTCGCCCCTCCCACGTGCCCCCTCCCACTGTGCTCCCTCCCTGTGCCCCCTCCCTCTATGCCCCCTCCTACCGCGGCCCTTTCCCTAGTGAGCAGTGCGTCCTCTCCACACGTTCCCCTACCGCTCTACTTATCCCCCCCTCCCCCCACCCCCGCCTCCCACCCTCGTTGTCCATCTCCCGGCCCCCCCACCTGTCGTCTCGCCTCCCTCTCCCCGTGGGCGCCAGTGACGCTCCCCCCCGACGCGGTGGTGCTGAACTGGGTGATGGCGGACGGACCGGTGGGCGGGGCGCGCGCGTACGACAACAACGGGCGCAAGGACTTCGCGGCGAGCGTGGCGAGCGACGAGGAGGCGCGGCGGTACTTCGACGCGCTGGAGGAGACGGTGCTGGCCCGGCTGGAGAAAGAGCGCATCGAGAGGGAGGAGCGCGAGGCCAAGGAGGTGAGCACATGGGGGCAGGGATGGGGGGAGGGGTGATGGTATTGTCTCACCGGCATGGCCAATGCTGAAGTCTAGGATTGTAACGAAGGGAATGCGGATTGACACACAGTCGGCTCGTGCAAAGAAATTGAGGATAAGCGAAGGAATGAAAATGTATCTCCATTGGTATAGCCGCATGCCCTCACTAGCCCTCACTCACTCGTGCACTCGCACTGTCAGACGCCTCCATAACCACCCCGCCCCCTCTCCCCCCCCCCTCCTCCCCCGTCCACGCTGTACACTGCACACAGCCATGGCAAGCTGGGCTGAATCACAGCGCCCTCCTGCACCACTTGAGCCCATTGCTAGGAAGCTCTCCCCACGAGTCCGCACTTCCTCTTGCACCCCCCTCTTCCTCCCATCCCCCACTGCCAGGCGGTGCGACGTGGGGAGCTGAAGGCGGCCATGAAGCGGCGCACCAAGGAGGCGTTCCTGCAGTCGCAGGCGCACGTCTTCTTCACCGAGCCTGCCGAGCCGCGTGCGGGCGAGACGGTGCGCGTCTTCTACAACCCCAGCAACACCGTGCTGCACGGCCGGCAGAACGTGTGGATGCGGGGGTCGTTCAACCGCTGGACGCACCGCACCGGGTGCTTCCTGCCCGTGCACATGCAGCCGGCCGCCAACGGCACGCACCTCGTGGGCGAGGGTGAGTGGCAGGTGGTGGCTTCGTGATGCTCTGTGTGCTCTGTGTGGTGTGTTGAGGGGGAATGCACTTCTTCTGCCTCGTCTTCACTCACGGGCTCATGGTGGAGCGCACAACCCCCCATGCCCACTATCTATTCCTGGCAACGCGCAGTGACGCCCCCCATTGACACATACATCACGGTCCTGGTGAAGGTGCACAGCAGCAGCCATTTCAGCAAAGTTTTGAGTCACGCGCCACCCCTCTTTCAATGCCCGTGCCCCCTGCCTCCCTCGTGCTGCCTTGGACCTGGTACTCGTGGACAGCCGCGACTTCACACGCCTGCTGTCCACTGTTGTGGTCGCCCCACTGCATTCCCCCCTCATTCCCGTGCCCGTGCCCCCATGTTGGCCAGTGACGGTGCCCATCGACGCGTTCATCATGGACCTCGTCTTCATGGACAGCAGCGACCCCAACGTCGCGTCCTACGACAACCGCGGCGGGCTGGACTACCACGTGCCCATCACCAACAGCACGGCCAAGGAGCCCCCGCTCTACATCACTCACATCGCCCTCGAGATGGCGCCCATTGCCAAGGTCAGGTGCTCCTCCTGTCGTTCTCCCCCTGACCACCACCCCCCCCCCCCTTGCACCGCCGACTCATAAGCCTTTCCTCGCCCACACATGCCGTTCTTCTTTGCTCCCTGCTCCTCCTCCTCCTGCTTTGCCTGATGCCCATTCTGCTGCCCATGCACGTGTGCAGGTGGGCGGGCTGGGCGACGTGGTGACGTCGCTGTCGCGAGCCATCCTGGAGCTGGGCCACAAGGTGGAGGTGGTGCTGCCCAAGTACGACGTCCTCAAATACGACAATGTGAGACAAGGCTGTGCCGCACGTGATGCACCAGCATACATTCGCATGCCATCACCATAGAGCTGGGCCACAAGGTGGAGGTGGTGCTCCCGATTTACGACAATGTGAAACATACCTGTGCGGCACGCGATGCACCATATACTTACATGTCAACATTATAGAGCTGGGCCGCACAGTGGAGGTGGTGCTGCTGCCCAAATGCGACGTGCTCAAATACAGCAATGTGAGGCGCTACTGCCTGCTTCACCCTGCAGCGTCTCCATCTCTCCCCATCCCCCCTGTCATCCCCCCTGTCATCCCCCCTGTCATCCCCCCTGTCATCCCCCCTGTCATCCCCCCTGTCATCCCAACTATTCCCCCCTCTCACTCTCTCCCTCCCTCCATCTCCCCCCTGCCACCCCCCCTGCAGATCCAGGACATGCAGGACCGCGGGTCGTTCGCATGGGGCGGCACCAACTGGCGCATGTGGTTCGGCTACGTGGAGGGCATCGGCGTGCACTTCCTCGAGCCCGAGAACGGGTGAGGGGGGGGGGATGGGATGGGGACGGATGGGCATCCAGCAGTGACGGGAGCGTCGTTCCTTCTCCACTGCCATCACTGGCACCTTGCAACCCAGTGTTGGTTATTTGCAGCTACTCCTTACTGTCTCGACCCCCTCTCAGCGCTCGCCTTCTCGCCATCCCTCATCCCCGGATTACACCCCCCATTTCTTCCCCAGCATATTCTGGGTGGGGTGCATCTACGGACGCAAGGACGACGGTGCGCGCTTTGGCACCTTCTGCAATGCTGCTCTGGAGTTCCTTGTGCAGACAGGCCGCCAGCCGGTGAGTGCTCGTCTCGTGCACACAGGCAGGTGGCTCTTGAAATGCTGTGCCTGCTGTCCTCATCACAGCCCTAATCCGTGTGGTGACGTGCGATCATGACGGGCAATCATGACGCGCGATCATGACGTGCAATCATGACATGCAATGATGACATGCAATCATGACATGCAATCATGACATGCAATCATGACATGCAATCATGACATGCAATCATGACATGCAATCATGACGTGCAATCATGACGTGCAATCATGACGTGCATACGGCCCCGCCCCTGCCCCATTGCTGCTCCCTCTCGGCCACTTAACATCTACCCTCCAACCCTCTTTGCTTGCCAATCCTCCCATCCACCCTACTTCAGCACTAAAGTCTACCCGCCCTCTCCCTCCCCCCCCCACACACCCCTTCCTCCTCCCCCCATCTTTCCCCATCTCCCTTCCCTCCCCCTCCTGGCAGGACATCATCCACTGCCACGACTGGTCGTCAGCGCCGGCGGCGTGGCTGCACGCGGAGAGCTACAAGCAGTACGGGCTGGGCAACGCGCGCACCGTCTTCACCATCCACAACCTCGAGTTCGGCCAGGCGCTCATCGGCCGCGCCATGGCCGCCTGCAACATGGCCACCACTGTGAGTGCTGCTGCTGCTGCTAAGGGCATAATGGCATGGCATGTTGGCTTTCTTCAAAGCACCGCTTTCGCTGACTGCTCTCGAATCCTGCTGTCAGTCTTCCTGTGTTATTATGCCCCTCTACGTCCTCTTATTTTTCCTATCTCTCTTACTTGCCCACTCTCTTCCTTCCAACCCTCTCCCCCCCTCCATCCCCATCCCCACACCCCCCTCGCCATCCCTGGGGTGCAGGTGTCGCCCACGTACGCGTGGGAGATAGGGGGCCACGGTGCGGTGGCAGCGCACCGGGGCAAGTTCCACGGCATTCTCAACGGCATCGACCCGGACATCTGGGACCCAATGACCGACCCCTTCATCCCAGTCAGTACTCTTTCCCCTCGCTCCGGAATATTTGTGCCTTGTACGGGCGCTCCCCATTCCCGAGCACGAGAACTCACGCTGTGCCCGCCCTCCGCGTCACCTCCTGATGCTTGATTCCCAGATGCGGTACTCCGCGGAGGAGGTGGTGGAGGGCAAGCGCGCGGCGCGGGACGAGCTGCGGCGGCGGCTGAACCTGCGGTTTGATGACCGGCCCGTGGTGGGCATCGTGACCAGGCTCACCGCGCAGAAGGGCATCCACCTCATCAAACACGCCATCTGGCGCACACTGGACCGCGGCGGGCAGGTGAGGGACGAAGGGAGGGAAGGTTGGAGAAACAGATGAGATTGTCTAGAGAAGGTCTGCACGGGCGGGAGGGGGGAGAGGGAAATGGGAGAAAGGAGAGACGGAGGAATGCTGGATGGACAGTGTGCAGGGCAGGGGCGTGTGACACATATGCTGTGCTCTCAGCACCTGAGCTGATGTGTGGCACCTCGACCATGTGCGTCTGATGCTCATGCGTGTGTCTGCTTCCCTGTGCGTAGGTGGTGCTGCTGGGGTCGGCGCCCGACCCGCGTGTGCACAGCGAGTTTGAGCACCTGGCGGGGCAGCTCAACAACTCGCACAACAACATGCAGCGCCTCTGCCTCTCCTACGACGAGCCGCTCTCCCACCTCGTATGCACTCACCCTTGTGGCCAGCATGCGCTCACGTATCTTTTATCCCATGTCACAATCTTCCTTCCTGTCGACCCCATCGAACCAGTCCTGCTGCCTGTTCTCCCACATGCCATCCCATCTGCACCCGCACCCCCATACTCACTCTCTCAAATCTCATGGCCATACCCCCCCACCTCATCCCCATGCCCTCCCTTACCGGGCACTGCGTGTGGTGCATGCAGATCTACGCTGGGTGCGACATGATCCTGGTGCCGTCCATGTTTGAGCCGTGCGGCCTCACGCAGCTCATTGCCATGCGCTACGGCGCCGTGCCCGTCGTCAGGAAGACAGGAGGTCAGTCGTACAACTACTCTCTTTTCCAGCATGCATCCTAAAGGCATCAACAACACTGCTGGATGTGAACAACCATGTTCACCACGCCTCACAAAACTTCATCTCCCCACCCCTCCCCCCCCCTCCCCCTCTCCTTCCATGGCAGGGCTGAACGACACGGTGTTTGACGTGGACAACGACCACGACCGGGCGAGGGCGCACAGCAAGGAGGTCAACGGCTTCTCCTTCGAGGGCGCCGATGCTGCCGGCCTCGACTATGCGCTCGACAGGTGCGTCGCCGTCTGGACTGTGCTCTTGACAGGTGTGGCATTGATTGGACTTTGTGCTTGCTGGGTTTGATGGGGCATGGCATGCCTGCATAACATGCACCATACCATCTCCAACATAACTCTCTCCCCCCTCCCCCCCGCTCTCATTCCCCTCCCCCGCTTGGTGCGTCCTTTGCTTCTATGCAGAGCCATATCCGGGTGGTACGACGGGCGGGAGTGGTGGAACGGGTTGGCCAGGCGGGTGATGGAGCAGGACTGGACGTGGAACAGACCCGCGCTTGACTACCTCGAGCTCTACTACGGCGCTAGGAAATGACCTCAGCATTGCACTAGGAAATAAGGAAGCTGTGAAAGAGAAGCATTGTGTGCATCTCTACTTTGAAACTGTTTTGCCACGAGTTTCCTGCCTTGTTGAGTTGTTTCGTGGCCTGATGTCTATTGGGCTGAGGCCAACTTTGTGATTGAAAGAGCACCACTTTGATGTACCGTATTCTCCCGGATACAGTGCCCGCCGGAATTAAGCTCCCATGGGTGGCTTGAGCGGGTATGGGTGTTTAATTAAACTGGATCTAGTTACCACCCCTACTTTTGGGCTTGAAAACAATTGAACACCCCCCGCCACCTAGAATTCGTATTTCGACAGGGAACAACGGAATTTGCCGTGCATAGTTGCGTGCGTAAACGTGAGGGCGAGTGGGGGAAACGAGCTGGTGGTCAACCCGAATGTGTCTGAACGGAAAAAAATATGTTGAAACCTCGAAATCCAAGAAGTTCATTCTCGACTCTCGCGCCCTCCCGCCAAAACAAACCTCCGCTGCCTCCCACTGATTGGAGGCAGCAAGGACGAGGCCTGCAGCACTCGTTGATTGGCTGCTTTGCCAGCCTCGTCCTTGATGCCTAGTGGAAACAAAGCTTTTGAGCCAGTACAGCTTTTGAAACGATGCCTGCCACAGACGGGAATGTCAAGATCGGCAAGCGAGGAGGGTGCAGTGCTTGGAGTGGTTCCACTCTTTGGTGGGGCTGTACGACGCGGAGCAGAGGAACGAGATCCTTCCAGGTGAACTCCTTACTATTAAACCCACCGCCATGTACCATTGTACAACTGAGACTGTTGCACATGTATTGTCCCTATTTCTCAGTTGATTGTCTCTACCATAACCTTACGCCACTCCCCCGACCTCTTTTCCCGTCTGTGGCAGGCATCGACAAGCGCCAAGCACTGCGGGAGTTGCCACACTTCACCCCGATCAGAGAAGTCTAGGGGGAAACTGAGGAAGACACAGGGGACAGTGCGGGCAGTGAGCTTGTCCGTGCCGGAGGCACGGGCGTGAGCGAGGCAGCCCCAGACGTGGAACGCGGACGCGTCACCAGGGAACCTGAGGACGTTGAGAGCGCGGCCAGAGGTTAAGCTGGTGAGCAACGTAGCGAACGGCGAATGGCCACAGAAAATGGGGTGCACCGGCATGAATCATGGAGGTACGCGCCACCTCCATGACCAAGCCGATGCGTCGCTCAGCGACCCCATTCTGCTGCGGGGAGTCCAGTAGGGAGTACGACTGGGTGATGCCCTCCGCACGACATAACTGTCCAAGCCGACCCGAGGCGGACTCGCCGCCACGGTCGGAGTGGAGACACAACACAGGGAGACCTCGGTGGAGGCGGGCAGCCACGACCCACGGGATAAGAACGTCAGGCACGTCGTCCTTCCGCTCCAAAGGAAGCACCGTGGTGTAGCGCATGTAGTCCTCCACGAGCACTAGAAAGTAGCGCTCGCAACGTGGTCTGGGGATGGGGGTTGGGCCCCAGACGTCCAGGCGTAGGGTCTGTAGGGGTGCGGTGGCAGGATGAAACGAGGAGGAGTGAGGATGTGAGAGTACGACCCCGTTACACCACTTGTCCCTTTTCTTATTTCCTTTCTCTTTCATTTCTCTTTTTATCTCATCTCATTTGGTTTCCTATTCTCCATTTTTCCATTAACCTTTAGTTTATCCTGCTATTATAATTATATCACCGACCAGGCTTAGGATGTACTGGTGCGCTATCTGGCGTAATCCTGCCGTAATCCCTTAAAGCCAATAGCCTCGCGTGGCTATACGCAGGGTGATTCTATCTTCTAGAAGGGTCTATCCCCTTAAGATAGGATAAACCTGGTTACCTGATGTACCTTGGAAGTATAAAAGCGCCTTGTACTGATCGATAGTGCAACCTTTCCTCGAGTAATTTGATCCAGTGACAGAGGAGCACGGCGCAGCCGGCCCTCAACGCAAGGCGTGCATGGCGGCGCAGGCGAGGGAGGGAGGGCAGGAAGCAACGCAGGGAGACCTAGGACGAGACCGTGCTAGGACATGTGACGCATACGCGGGAGTGCGGGGTGCCCTAGGCGGCGGTGCCACAGAAAGCGACGGGTGAGTGAGGGACCGACACGAGCACGCAGCGGCGACCTGGGTAGATGCAGGACCCGGGAGGGACGGTCTAGCCGAGGGGGAAGCAGTGTCCGGCGTAAAGAGGCCAGACTGTCAAATGTAACTTAGGTCGTTACTGTAGACTATACTGGATTGTGCCTTAGAGGGTACAGCACCCTAGTCTATATACCCTTGTACTCACACATTCTAGTACAATTATTCTTTCTGATATGGTATCATAGTAGGTTAGGTTCCCCCCTAGCCCGCCCACGCTTCCGCCCCCTAGAACCTAGCCACCATCGTGCCCCGCTCCTAGCCGGCCCTCCTGGCCGTCGCGCTCGTCCCTAGCCAGCCCCCTGGCCGTCGCGTCCGCCCCTAGCCGGCCCCCTGGCCGTCGCGTCCGCCCCTAGTCGGCCCCCTGGCCGTCGCGTCCGCCCCTAGCCAGCCCCCTGGCCGTCGCGTCCGCCCCTAGCTTGCCCCCTGGCCGTCGCGCTCGTCCCTAGCCGGCCCCATGGCCGTCGCGTCCGCCCCTAGCCGGCCCCTTGGCCGTCGCGCCTGTCCCTAGCCGACCCCCTGGCCGTCGCATCCGCCCCTAGCCAGCCCCCTGGCCGTCGCGTCCGTCCCTAGCCGGCCCCCTGGTAGTCGCGCTCGTCCCTAGCAGGCCCCCTGGCCATCGCGCTTGTCCCTAGCCGGCCCCCTAGCCGTCGCGCTCGTCCCTAGCCGGCCCCCTGGCCGTCGCGTCTGCCCCTAGCCGGCCCCTTGGCCGTCGCGTCCGCCCCTAGCCGGCCCCCTGGCCGTCGCGCCCGTCCCTAGCCGGCCCCCTGGCCGTCGCGTCCGCCCCTAGCCAGACCCTTGGCCATCGCGCCCGTCCCTAGCCGGCCCCCTAGCCGTCGCGCTCGTCCCTAGCTGCTCCCCCCCCCCCCGGCCGTCGCGCCCGTTTCCTGCCGTCCCACGGCCGCCCCTAGCCGTCTCACAGCCGCCCCCTCACAGTCGCGGCCGCCCCTAGCTGCTGTCGCTGCCATCTCCAGCCGCCTCACGGTCACTCCTGCCGTCGCGGCCGCCCGTAGCCGCCGTCGCGGCCGTGTCTCCTTGCCGTCGTGGCTGGCCCTATTCGCCATCGCGCCAGCTCCTCGCCGGCCCCTGTTGCCGCCGTTTGATGGCCCCTCGCGTCTGCCGTCAGCCGGGCGGCTCCTGCATTCGCGTCGTCGCCAGCCCGCCGCCGCCTCGGGTTCGGCCCGTTCTTCCCGATCAGCACTGCCCTGCGAACCCCCCCGGTACCGTACTAGATCGCCTTGCACCGCACTGTACCGCAATACACCGCACTGCACCGCACTGTACCGCACTGCGCCGCACTATACTGCTCTCCACTGCCCTCTATTGTCACTGATGGCGGAGGTGCTTCGCTTTGACGCTGAGGCCCAGCCGATTGAGTTTGATGTGTGGCTTGCTGACCTCCGTCGCCACCTGACTGGTCAGCGGCAGGATGGCCACTCTCTGTCTGTCCATCTTGACGGTACTCTCCCCTGCCCTGACCCCCCCGCTGCACTGTCTACTGATCCCTCGTCCGCTGAGCGTGAGTCCGCTGCGGCCGCTGCCCTTGCTCGCTCTGTCTGGCTGCCCCGTGACGCTGTCGCATAGCTGGCTATTAGCAATGCCCTCCCCCTGTCCGAGCGATCTTGCTTCAAGTCTATCACCACTGCCCAGGCTTTCCTATATGCTGTTGTCCAGCACTATTCCACCCCGCCTGCTACCTCGGTCGGTCATCTGATCCTCCCCATGCTCTTCTCTGACCTTGCGTCGTTCCCCACTGTCGTCGACCTGGCCGCTCACCTGCGCACTATAGACGAGACCTGGCATGCTGCCTGCACTCCCACACAGCTTCTAGCCCATCATTCACCCCTCACCTCTACTCTCTACCTGCTAGCCACCTGCCTCCCTGACCGTCTTGCCACTGCCCGTGACCACTTCCTTAGCGTCCACCCCGCAGACCTCACCCTCACTGACTTAGTTGACACCCTGTCTGCCATAGAGGCCCGCCACCGCTCTATCGCTCAGACCAGCGGTATTGTGCCGGTCCCTATCTTTCAGGGTTGCGCCCCCGCTAAGTGCACCTTCTCTGACGGTTCTGTTGCTGTGGCTGAGACTGCCGCTGCAGCACAGGTCCGTACGGGGAAGGGTCGCCGCCCCAAGGCTGGGCGTGGCGGCGGGGGTGGGGGTGCAGGTATAGGTGGTGCTGGAGCTGGGTCTCCTGGTGGTGGTGCGGACGAGGGGACCCTGCCAGGTGCAGCCGAGCAGCCGTCTCAGCAGCCGCCGGCGTTGCAGCCGGACTCGCGTGAGCCGCAGCAGCCGCAGCAGTCGCAGCAGCCGCAGCAGAGACGGGCGAGTGGTCTCCTGCATGGGTGGCCTGGCGCTGGTGGTAGTGCTGGACGTAGTGGTGGTGCGCGAGGTGGGCTGCCGGGTGGTGGTGCGCGTGGTGGGCTGCCGGGTGGTGGTTCGGGTGACACGCGCTGTCAGTACCTGCTCCAGACCGGTCCTCGCCGTGGCTTCGTTTGCGGTAAGATCGGTCACACCTCCGTCCGCTGTTTTCGTCACCTGGACGACCTGTTTCGTCAGCGTTTCGGCCTGTCGCCCGAGCTCCCAGACTGGCACAGTTTGCTTCGTCATAGGGTTCAGATTTTTGATATGGATATAGATGAGATTGTTACTGCTCTGCATGTGATGTATGCTGATGACTCTAGTGTCCTTCCGTCTTATTACCCCTTATTGCCTAGTGTAGGTGTGCCTTGCTTAGACTCCCTTGTTGCATCAGGCGTAGGATCCCCTACTTTGCTTAGCTTTGGTGCTTCCGTCTCTGCTTCGCCTCCGGCCGCCACTGCCGCGCTCTCCTTCACCCTCGACTCTGGCGCTTCCCGGATTTTCTTCCTCAACTCCACCACGTTGACACCGCTTCCTGTCCCTGCCGCAGTCTCTCTTGCTGACCCCTCCTCCGCCCCAGTAGTCGCCCGCAGTTCCACCACCCTCCCCTGCCCGGCGTTTCCTTCGGGCTCGCTCACAGGACTGCACATCCCCTCGTTCGCCGGGAACCTAGCTGGTGTCGGTTGCCTTCAGGACCTTGGCGTCACCACGACGTTCCCTGGACACGAGCGGT